CAAATTTTGACAGACCCAACCACCTATAGAAGCATTGTGGGTTCCTTATAATATCTAACTTTTACTAGGCTAGATATTGCCTTTGTAGTGAATATAGTATGTTGGTTCATGACTTCACTAACTGATATCCATTTTGAAGTTGTCAAGAGAATTATTCGATATCCCCAAGGAACTATAAACACTAATATTGTTTTTTCTGCAAACACAATTACAAAGCTTAATGCTTTTTCAGATTCTGATTGGGTTGCAGATTTGAATACTCGAAGATCAATTATTGGTTATGTGGTTTATTTAGGGAATAATCCAATCTCTTGGCAGTCTAAGAAACAAAACTCAGTGTGAAGGAGCTCTGTTGAGGCTGAATATAAAGCCTTATCACATACTGCAGTAGATATAGCTTGGGTACGAAATATATTGAAGGACTTGGGAATGTTCTTACAAGTTCCACCAACAATTCACTGTGACAATATGTTTGCCATTGCATTAAGTGCAGATCTAGTTTTTCACTCAAGGATAAAACATATTGACACAGATTACCATTTTGTAAGGGACAGAGTGCAACGAGGAGATTTGGAGGTTTTATACATTCCAACTGAAGACCAAACTGCAGATGTCGTCACTAAAGGTCTTCACAATCTCTCATTTGTCAATCCAATCTCAAACTGGAAAATCCCAGTTGAGATTACGGGGGGATGTTGAAGATATATGACTACTGCCATATCATTTGACACATCATCACAGTTAGATAGGAATGCCACATCAGCTATTGTAGTATGTTAGTTTGTTAAAAGTTAGTTACATTGGTAGATTAGTTGACAAGCTAGATTCGGCTGCTATATAAGCTTGTATTAAATCATTGTGGGATGATCTTTTTCATCTTTCTAAGAAATAATAAAGTCTGCATTCTCTTGATTTTCTCTCTACATTTCTTCTTATTCAGTTCTTATATTTTTCTGCAAAACATTCATCTGTGTATACCTTGATGAATGTTATCACCACCCAGGTAAACTCGTCTCAATCCCCAACTTCCTCTTCATTTGTAGTCAGATGTATCTCTTGGCAAAGCTTCCCACTACCATCAAGGGTTTCGCTGGACTTGGCAAGGATAAAATTGGAATTTCATCCCAATTCGCTTTCGCTTTCAGGTTCAGCAAAAAGTTTGCCATTTGCTTGCCTTCTTCCACAAAATCATACGGCTGTTATTTTCTTTGGTCTCGGCCCTTATGTTTTGCTCCCTAGTATGGATGTGTCCAACTCGCTTACTTACACCTCATTGCTCCTCAACCCTTTCACCACAGCCCTGGCTTACGTGGAAGGTAAGCCTTCGGCTGAATATTTCATCAACGTAACGTCTATCAAAATGAACGACCTTACATTGCCGTTAAATTCTTTGTGACTCATCTTAGATCAAAACGGCCATGGTAGTACAAAAATTAGCACCGTTAATCCCTACACAGTGTTGGAAAGCGCAATCTTCAACACTCTTAGTTGGGCATTTCTGAAATTACTCCCCGCTTCAATTCCTAGATTGGGATACATAGAGCCTTACGGACAATGCTTTAACTCGTCCTACATCAGAGAGAACGACGTGCTTAGTATTGATTTGGTGTTGCAGAGTGAGAGTGTGTACTGGAGGCTGTCTAGACCAAACTCGATGGTGCAAGTCAAAAAAGACGTGGTGTGTTTGTCATTTGTTGATGCTGGGCAAAGTCCAACCCCTAGGACTTCCATTGTGATCCGAGGGCATCAATTGGAGGAGAATCTTCTCCAATTTGATTTGGTTAATAAGAAGTTTGGATTCAGCTCCTCACTACTGTCTCAAAAGATCAGTTGTTCCAACTTCAACTTCACTTCTACTGCTTAGAGAGAAAGTGTCCTTTAGGTGGTCCTACCTGGTGTGCTTTCATTGTTTATTATAATGTTTCTTCCTTTTATTAAAACAATAATATTGTTTTATATTGTAGGTGTTTATTAATCTTCTTGAATCTTGATTGCTTTCAATGCAATATTTGGCATCATGACAAATCTATTTATTTGATATTTTACTAAAAAAATATTGTTGTATAATTTTGTATATGAAACAACTAGTCCTACCATTGGAGGATTGGAATGGTACTACTTCTCACGATGTATTTACTTTTAGGGTGATTTTGTGAAAAATTAATAAAAAGTTACAATATTAATAATAGATCAACAATATTTATGTTAAGTTGATCATGTATTGTGATACTTAAATGCCTTTAAAATAAACAAAAAGTACAAAATCTGCAACTACAGCTAGCACCCACTTCAACTAACACTCTATTTCTTATAGTTTTATATTTGGAATAAGTCAATACGGATCAGACATTGCATTGTTTCCTGATTCTGTTTTTTACATTTGGATCCAGACACTGAGTTGCAGCGTCCATTTATTGGTTTTGTTTTTTCCATCACTCACACGCCTCCTACATGTTCCTTTGTACATTTGGATTCAAACACTGCAAATGCAGTGTCCGTTTCCTGGTTCTGTTTTTCACTTTTGGATTCAGACACTGTGTTGTAGTGTATGTTTCCTGGTTCTATTTTTTTTCATCACTCACACGTCTCCTACACTTCACACCTCACGGGACTCCTAATTTTACATTTAGATTCAGACACTGTAATACAATGTTTGTTTCCTAGCTTTGCTTTTTACATTTAGATTCAAACACTATAATGCAGTGTCCGTTTTCTAATTCTGTTTTTTAACAATTGGATTCAGACACTACAATACAGTGTCCATTTCCTGGTTCTGTTTTTTACATTTGGATTCGAACACTACAATGCAGTGTCCGTTTCCTGGTTCCTTATTATTATTATTATTATTATTATTATTTTTAGTTGACTCCTTCATGTAAACATAGGGTAAGAGAGTGATAAAATATACATATTTTAACTATTTATTGGATTCAGATAATCTCAAGATCAGTTCTAGAGGAATAGAAATCCAACGGCCGAATCCTCTTCCCCCTCAACTTTTATTTCTCCCTCGCACCCCCACACCCCATCGTTGTTAACAAACCCCAAATTCAATTGCAGGTCATCTGTGCTTTAAGTCTGATTTATTTTCACTATCCTTTACTGTTTTAGTTTCTTATTTGTGATCTCTTTCTTCTTGTTCATCTTTGAGATTTCTCTCACTCTAATTCTTTCATAGTTATGAAAAAGATCTCTGCAACCAAAAGACATTGATTTGCACGACCCCTCTCTTTGTTGTTTCATTAACATCGGCTAAGATTTTAAGGTCAAAGGACTTGCAACTGAGGGATGCGGTGGTGGTGGGGCTGGGTAAGGTGAGTGACTTACAATTGGTGGTTGTGGGTTAGGTGGGTTGTGGCAGTGTTGGGGCTGATTTTGAGGTGGGGTTGAATTTAATTTGGAATTTGAGGAGTTGGTGGTTTGAGGTTGAAAGCTTCGAAGTGAGGGAAAAAGAGAAGAGTTAAGGGGGAAAAGAGGAAGGATAAGAGATTTTGGTCATTTGATTTGTATCAATGGATGAGATCCATCAGCTAGGAGGATCTCCACAAATTGATCTGGAGATGATCTAAATTCATATTTATAATAGATTAAGCCCATATAACATTTATAAAGAGAGAAAGAGAGAGTGAATGATAGAATAGTCAAATTCTAACTATTTATAATGACTAAAAACCTATGTGGCATTTATTATTGACCTATGCCTAATTAATAAAAATATATCATTGATTAAGTCCAAAACAAAAATACTCCATTGATATATGGCTTAATAGTAAAGTTTTTGTTGACTTTTGCCTAAATTACCTTTACTTTTATGCAATTAAGTTTGAATTATCATCAATTTAATTTGAATGAATGTAATATAAATTATTATCTCGTTTGTCAGAAAAGAAAATAGTGCTTATCATGAAATGTTATTGTATTTATTCATTGAGATTTTTTAAGAATTATTCTATTTGGTGTAGAACTGTTGTAATCATTCTTGTCTTAAAGTGCATTTTTAGTCGATTTACAAGTTGTGGCCTTCTTGAATTAACATATGAGAGAAGTAAGAGAGATAACCCACTCTATAACCACTTAAACAGAAATCCCTATGTGAGGAGTGAATTTAGGAAATTACCTTCGTTCAATTGTTCTTTGTAGGATCGAATAGTTTATAGGGAAACGAATCCGAATATATTTATTTATGATGATCCCATTATATGATTACTCATATCCCATTATCTCCAATTCATTTTGTTAATTACAGTTTGTCTTTTTCTTGTATTGACTTTTACCCCCTCCAGTATTTTAACATTTTTTGTGTGTACCATTTTGCATTGACTTTGTATGGCGTTTGGAGCTGTGGGCGAGGAAGCTAAGCGTTCGAAGATGGAAAATAATAGAACTAGGGACTAGGAAATTGTGGATAATGGTAGAGTGTTTAAAATTTTAAATTAAATTTGTAAGTTAAATGTCACTTAGTATTACATATAGTAGTATTTTTCTTTACTTATAAATGAAATATCTTATGTTCGATTTTTGCTAAAGGTAAATTTAAATCACATTATTGACTCTGCCAAAGTGTGACTCTCTATAGGCTTTCCATTACATCATGTTTTAGGTACGATATTTTATAATGCTGGCAAGAGAATTATGCTAAAAATATAATGTGACGAATAGTCTATGAAAAACCTATTTTTTAGAGAGTTTATTTAACATTTGTCTAATATAAATAGTGTGTGGCTTTTCATATTGACTTTTAACTTATTGCCTTTGGGCTGGTGAGCAGGCACACTAGAAAATTGTTATGAATAGAATGGGGACTCGATGAAAATTTACTTGTTGCCGCGTCTCTTGACTTTGATTTTATTTTTTAATTAACACTTCAAACCTTCATTTTTTTTAATCTAAACCAACCAATTCGAGTTTAGAGGAGGATATATCTCTTACTTTACTGTATCCGTATCCAATTTGGAATAGAAGGGATATGCGACTAATAAGTCCATCATGTGTATGATATTTGTAAATTTGGAAATCTTATTCTCCAACATTGTATACAACTAATAAAAGCTGAGGTATTTAGAAAAAAGATTAACAAAGTGTAAGCGTTGCATAAATCGTAATCATCCTGACCATTATTCATAATGTAATTACCAAAATGAAAAAAATTACAAATAACAGTTGAATCATAAGGTCCTCTAACTTCTTAAGCATTAGAAGTGAAGTTGAAGTTTGCACAAGTTGTCCGACTGAACAAGAGCGAGGAACTAAACCCAAGCTTAGAAGCAGCCAAATCAATCTGCACCAAATTATCCTCCAGTTGGTGCCCACCAATCACAATAGAAGTCCTTGGCCTTTCACCTCCATCCACAAAACCTAAACACAACACATGGTCGCTTACCTGCACCATTGAATTTGCTCCAAATATCCTCCAGTACACACCCTCGCTTTGCAACACGAGATCAATTTGAGGCACAGCAGGCCCAACCCTCGTACTACCAATGTTCTTCGAATTGAAGCATGCTCCGAAAGGCGCTACTGCTTTCACTCTTGGGATGTTTGCAACCTCTTTCACAAATGCATTGACCACGGCATTGTAGATTGATGTCTCCAAAACCGTGTAAGGATTCACAGTGCTGAGCTTCGTGCCACCATACCCTTCATTGTCAATAGCCAGCAATGAAGTATTCAATGTAACAACCTTTTCGTTGATCTTAATTGACTTCACCTTGATGAAGTAGTCTGAAGAAGGCTCGCCTGTGAAATAAGCACCTGCTGTGCTGACAAGGTTGAGGATCAGTGGGGTGAAAATAAGTGACTTGGACACGTCAATATTGGGAAGCAGATTATAAGGCCCATCCCCGAAGATTACAACACCTTTAGAACTCGTTGAAGAGCTCAAACAAATTGCGAATTTTCGGCGGAAGCTAAAGGCGGAAGCGAATTGGGAAGGAAGCCCAATTTTAGCCCGGCCGAGGCCAGCCATGCCCTTGACACCACTGGCTAGACCTTCCAACAAAAATGCATAACCACAAGTGAAGAGTAGGTTGGGGACAGAGACCAGCCTACCAGGATTGGACCCATCTGTGGATTGGATGGACACCATGTCTTGACCAAGGTCACCGCCCCCGGCGGTGGGGTTGATGGGGTTGTCCAGTAAGAGACCACATGTGTTGTTGTTGCAGCCTGGAGATGGGGGAGAGTAGCATTCTGTAGTACAAGACTTGGAGTTTGCGAGTGAGCATTGAGCGGAGTTGCAACGGGCAGGCTTGTAGGTGGATGAGATATAATCTTCACATTCAACCCAAAGGAACTGACCTCCAAGATGTACTGTGAGTTTTATGGGGACAAGAGGGGATCTTTGGCTCAAAGTGGTGAGGTATTGGAGGGTGGAGGAGTCTTTTGTTACTGGAAGGAGAAGGGCTTTTGGTCTGAAAGATGCCGATTTGGCTAGTGACGGGACGAAGATCAAGTGGAAGAGTAATGAGCAAAAGAGAAGGCAATGAAATGAGGAGGAAGCCATTGTTAATTGATTGCTGGCAATTGATAGAGATGGTCGAAGAAGTGAGAGGGCATTGCTACCAATTTATAGGTTTTAGAAGTCATCTACATTTTTAACCAAAAAAATATATATATAACTAGAGTCTTCGAATACTTGGCGAGCTTGCGAGGAACCGACGCTTTGTCAAACTTGGCAACTTGGGGATATTCTGTTATCTATATCCTTATTATGCCAGCTAAATCCATGGTTTTCATCCTTCCTGTGGCTACTTTGTCTCTTTAGATAGCTTTGAATTTCATGGTGTTTGTCCTCTGTTTAATTGTAATATTTTTACCCCTCGTCAATCAAATTGGCTCATCTATTGATGACAAAGTAACAAACAGGAAAGAAGGTTAACTTCTGGAACATTACTTGGAGAGCTTAACAGGAACAACACTATCAATAAAAGTATTTCAATCAAACTTATGTAGTTTTGAGAAGAGCTTATAGTTGAAGTAGTTAATTAAGGGTACAAGTCAGTAATACAGTTAGAAATATAGTTAGCAAGTTTGTTAGTATTTGGTTAGTGTTGTTAGGCTTTCTAGTATAAAAACGGAGTTGTGTAATATCTCTCTTTAGTTAATACAAGTCTCATATTTCTCTCTCTAAACTCTCCATGTTCATCTTCTTTGTCTTTCTTCTAATTTTCTCTTCGAATCTCAAATATTTCAATATAGTTAACAAAGAGTATGTATTCTTACCTGAGGTTTTGTATTCTTAGGGGAATTGGTGTGCATGGCCGTCCTACAAGGACTCCTCGGTGTTCTTGAGATGTTATTGTGTTTCCTTTCTTCTTTTTGCGTTAAAGTAAGCACGAATGGTGCTGTTAGGAACTCTCTCGACTTGGCTTGTTTTGGTGTTATTTTTCGAGATCATAATGAATTGGCACTTGATGGTTTTGCGGGATCCCTATGGTTGACGACTTGACGTCATCTTTAGAGGCTGAGTTTCATGCTGTTATTCATGTTGTCTCCTTTACTTGGGATAACGGTTGGCATTTTTATGGAATGAGCGTGATTTCTCTTTCGTTGTTCATTTTCGTTCAACTCCATCTAATGAGGTGCATTGACCTATTCGCGTTCGTGGCACAATTTCATGTGATTGCATGCGGGGTAGCGGGTATGGGTGTGCCATATATAGTCTGAAAGTAATTATGCATGTGACAGATTGCTTAGTTAGTTATTGAGTTGACTGTTCGAGTAGTTTTTTGTGGGATTTTAGTCCTCCTCGTGTTACTGCAGTTTATCTTCATAATGCTTTTCAACTTCCTTGTCAGAGATTTTGTTAAGAGAATTATTAGTATCTCATTACTAATTCTTAGCTGAAGTTCATATCTTGTTATGTAGTATGACTCGCTTAATGAAATAAATTTGGGTAAAGTACAAAAAACTACCTCAACTATTGGTGTCACGACACTTTTATACCTTATCTTTTAAAATTAACAATGTCATACCTCATCTTTAGAATTTGTGTCAATGTTATACCTTTCGTTAGCTTGGCCGTTTATTTCTTAGTTAAATGCTAACGTGGCTTGATCCGAGACCTATTTTTTATTAAAAAATTAATAAAATATTATTAAAAACTAAAAAAAATCATTTAATATTTTTAAATATTAAAATAATAAAGAAAAGTAAATAAAAAAATTAAAAAAAAACCTCAGGTCCGTTCGTCCCTCCCCCCTTTATCTCTTCCCTATCTTCCTGCAACCCAGAAAGAAGAAGAAGAAGAAGAAGAAGAGGAAAAAAAACAAAAAAACCCAAACCAAACCCAGGTTATCCCCCCTCCCCCCACCACAAACCTAACCCCCTGCAACCCAGAAAGGAGGAGGAGGAGGAAAAAAAAAACCCCCAACCCAACTCGAAGGAGGAGGAGGAGGAGGAAGAAGAAGAAGGGAAAAAAAAGCTACCCCACCCCCCCCCCCCCCCCACCCCGGGGGGGCCAACCTGCAGAAGAAGTACAAGAAGAAGAAGAAGAAGAAGAAGAGAGAGAAGGAAAAAAAAAATTCCAGTTAGAGCAATAATCGCTCAACTTTAATCTAATTGTAGCAATGGTCCTTCCAACATAACTCATTTTGACAAAATTCTGATGCAGTTGAAGAAAATGACCATAACTAAACGTTTTGATGAGTTGAGGCATCTCAATTGTAGCAATGGTCATTCCAACATAACTCATTTTGATAAAATTCTAACAAAGTTGACGAATGATCATAACTACACATTTTGATGAGTTAAGGAATCAGTAATAATGAATTTTTAGTTAAATAATCAGGTTTTAATTTGATTAAAATTAAAGAATTATTGCTACAATTTACTCTAACATAAATTGAAGGACTCGGGAACTACATACTTAGTGCCGCCTGATCAACGCACGTTTTCCAGTTAGTGCTGCGAAATGATGACCTACGTTAGCTTTTGTCTCTTTGACTTTGACTCTTTTTTTTTACATGACACCTCAATCTTTTGGCTTTTTGTAATTTGATCCACAATTATAATTTTAAGAAAAATCTATCTCTTAATTTAGTAATACAATCTAGAAATATTGGCTTTGCTGGATGCCACAGAAGATTTGGATTAGGAATACATAATCGATATCAAAGAAAAGAAAGGTCTAACTGTTGGAGTATACATTCTTATTTGATGCATTGCAGTCAGTAACATTGGTGAATTAGGTGAAGAGTACGGAAAGAGAGGGATTCGAACCCTCGGTAAACAAAAGTCTACATAGCAGTTCCAATGCTACGCCTTGAACCACTCGGCCACCTCTCCTACATAATGATTATGGCCAAAAAACCGAGTTAATAGTGAGTCATTCATATTATTTTGGATAGGTATCTACATTGAATTAAAATTATTAAAAAATTGAACTCTAAAAATAGAAAACTTTTCATCAAAGACAAATCCTTCCGCATAAATCTTTTTTGTGAAAAATTGTAAAATAAAGATATATCTATTCATGTTTGCGAAGATGGGGTTTCCGCCCTTTCTAATATTTATACCGGATTTAATCTCTCAATTGAAACGAATTCAACGATTGATCCATTTTTTTAGACTGTGTTTAATGGATATCTTTAGATCATTATTCAATTTTCATAAAAATTCTAAAATGCCTTTCCAGTTTTAGATTTTTCAACAACAACTCCTTACTCCAACTTCTTAACCCATAGATTGATTTCAAATTCATGAACCGTCCCCCGGATTTTTTTTTTTTTTATTGATTCCTGTCAAAACGAAACAATTTGAGTATGAGTAAAAGGTCTTCCTTTTTATTTTAATGAATCCGTTTTTATGTTATTTCGTACTGTACAATTCCTTTGTTTGTGGGATCATTTTCTCACGAAATGAAATTAAAATAAATTATAGAATGGATTAATACACCTATGTCTAGATCTGGGATAAATGGAAATTTTATTGATAAAACCTTTTCAATTGTAGCCAATATCTTATTACGAATAATTCCGACAACTTCGGGAGAAAAAGAGGCATTCACCTATTACAGAGATGGTGCGATTTGATTATTTTTTTATTTATTTTCTTTTCTATTTTTTACTGCTCTCAGTCTTAAGAGAAAGACAACATTATTCGGGATAGGAAAAAAATTATTGAAATAAATCTACGCTTGTTGAAGGTGAAGTTTGTAAATAAAGCAAACCCTTCTGTCGTGTATCCCCGATTAATGCAGCCTCAGATGCTTCAATTGTCGATTCTAGAGTATTGAGCGGGAGGTTACACCTATGGGTTAGGTCTCCACCAATAGAGGGCATAGGGGAAGAAGCACTACTCCTAGGAATCAACACACGAAAACTTTGTTATAAATTATCCCTTTTCCTTATCAGGATCGGGACTAACAAGAATGGTTGGGACAACAAACATCCATCTCGTTCGTTTTTTGGATACCCGTATAACCATCGAAGACTGTTGAAGTGACTAATTCCTGCAAATTAAAGGGCGTTGAAGACAAAGAAATTGTTGGAGTAACTTTTTATCTAATACCAACATGCTTGATGTTAAGTAAAGATCTTTTACAAGAAGGTTGGCTAGAGATTTCTTGTAAAAACACCAGCCCCGCTTAGTTTATAATGAGAATATTTCAATCTTTTTTGATTCCACGTATTCTTATCATTATGCACATAAAGGAGGAGCCGTATGAGATGAAAATCTCATGTACGGTTCTGAAACGGAGATTTTTTGAATCGAATGACGACCGTAACGGATGTCAGCTCAATCCGAAGGAAATTATGCAGAAGCTTTACAGAATTATTATGAAGCTATGCGATTAGAAATTGATCCTTATGATCGAAGTTATATACTCTATAACATAGGCCTTATCCACACAAGTAACGGAGAACATACGAAAGCTTTAGAATATTATTTTCGGGCACTAGAGCGAAACCCATTCTTACCACAAGCTTTTAATAATATGGCCGTGATCTGTCATTACGTGCGACTATCTCCACTATAGAAATAAAAAAAGGAAAGAAGGAACAAATCCGTTAATAAATACTAGAAACAAAGGGTAGGCTTTCTACATATGTATCGTTCAAAACAACGATTTTTATCAGCTGTAGCAAAGAAATAAACTTCATAAAAGTCGAAATATGAAGAAATAGGTATGCCTAGATACTTTATTCTATGGATAAAGGATCTAATTGATAGAAGAAGCGCCGTAAAGATCAATTCGCGAGGTTTTGGTCCGATACAATAAGAACTGCTTGCTTATGTCATGATATGAGATAAAAGTTAGGAATCCACTTATGTAATAGAGTTGATCCCCTAAGTATTGGAGGGTGGAAATGCCTTTTGTGACTGCCAGAACAAGGGCTACGGGTTTGAAGGATACTTGGGATAGTGAAGGGGGCGATGAGATTCATATCGAATGGTACCAGGGAGCAACATAGAAAGCAATTTGGACATTATTTATAAAGTATTTGCAATTAATTAAGCTGCTAATTAATCAATGAATTAACTGATGATTGGTATGAAGAAGTGGGAAGGAGGGCATGTCCATTAATAAAAGTTGGGTGCATTTTTGTTCACTATCTTATTTTTTACTATTAGATGAATATAAATTTTAAGATTTATATTTTTCAATTACGCAAATTTCTAAATTTAACTCATTTAATGATAATAAATAATGTAGTAAGTATTACCTTCACTTGAGAATGATAAGCAAAAATATTTCACAGAAATTTGAAGTCTTTTAAAATTGTTAACCCAAAAGACCCATGTGTTTCAATTCTTATAATATATTCTGTGTAGGGGTGGGTCATTGTAAATAAAATGTGGGCAGCTTAGGCGTCAAGGGTGGCGACGAGGGAATACTAATTGCCAGGAATCCACTCTAATTAAAGTCTTTCTTGCTGGAAACCACGTGCAGATGTGCTAATTAAGTGCATGCCTCCAAACATTATTTAAAGATATTCTCCATCTAAATCTACAGTTTGTGTATAGAAAGGCATTACCTTTAATTTGGTGCTCACAAAATTATTATATATATATATATTTTTTTTTTTTTTACAAAAAGCGGGGGATATTTCATTAGTACGAACGGAACAAGTGTACAAGTTGGTGCTAAAAGGTACATATTTTACAGGACAAAAGATTCTCTCCGAATCCTCTTTGTGAGAATACGAGAATCAATCAATTATGTATGTTCATCGTAAATCATACGGTTATTTTTTGTTAGATACTATTTATATTCAATTTAAAATGATTTCTGACCGCACGATATACGATAAACAGATGTGATTGATTGATTCTCTAGATTCCCACAAAGAGGATCCGGCGAGGATCCTTTTCCATTTTACAGAGATAATATTGCACAATTAACAATAAAACAAAAACAATGCTTGAATATTCAAAGATAAATAAGAATTCCTATCTAAAGCTATTTGTCTTCGAATTATAGAGATTTATGTTTATGATCAAAACCGTTCAAATTATAAATATTTTGTAAATATTAACTTTGCAAAATTAAAACTAAAATCATTAAGTCAATCTATTGTAACAAATACAAAGACGGTTCGTAATGCTTTTATTAATTTCGTTCATATGTTTTTAATTAATTTATTACATAAACAATTTTTATAAAATGATTTATAATACGAATTATTCTAATCATAAATACGAAGTTCTATAGTTTGACAACCAACAACTTTGAGTAGAAACTCTTACTCAAAGCCTCTATATGGCCACCAACCACTACAGTAATTGATAAACATTGGTGCAAATATGCCACAAATACAACGGTAGACGTAACACACCTGCAACCGTAGCACACTGCTAAATGATGAAGCCAAAACAACTCGGCAAAGCAAGCACAAAACTGCTAAGCGAACTGTGTTCATAAAGGCCTGCCTAGGGTCGCCTTGACGCTAAACGGCTGACCACCACCACGATTAGATAGGCACCTAGGCTGCTTAGGCGCTCGGATGCCCCACCTAAGTACTCACTTAGACTACTTAGCTCGCGATTCTCACTTAGACAAAAAAATAGATAGCTTTTATTTTGAATTTTTTTTTTTACTAAATTGTAAGAGACTTATTGGATATTTGGATGAACATTCATTATACGCTCATTCTCCATGTTTTGCAATATGTTTAATTACTTTATACTTTACATGTTACTCTATTTTGTAATTTATTATAATTATGTTTGTTTAAAAATATACGTAAACATTTATTATATGTTATAAAATAACTTCATTTGGAAATTTAAAAAAAATGTCTAGGTTGCTACCTACCGCCTGACTAGCACTTATTAGAACCTTGCGGACAACACAAGACACTAAAATCTAAGTCAGGAAAGGAACCACCAATTAACAGGTTTCCACTGTGAGGACCCCATCATTTATAGAGAAATCCGTGGCAGCCATAGAAGGAGCCTCGGCAAATCTGGCCAGGTAAAACGGCTCGACTTTTGAGTCGGCTGAAGAGCACATAACTATCACGGAAAGTCAATCGTAGGAGGCGTATTCGACCCACCACAACCACAAAATCGACCCACCACCACGAGTCTAGTTGAACTCTGAAGGCATAGCCCAAGTATGAGAAGGAAATCCATAAAAACATAGGTTGTTGCTTGCGGAAAACATTGGACTGTAAAATCTGATGATTATTTTGCAACTAATTTACCTTACATTTCTGGTAATTTAGACATTAAATATTAATGTCATGTCGTAACATAGTTATTTGTAAAAGGTAGGCTATCAAACGTTAATAACAATAATGGGTAATTTCTGGACGTCAACTAATAATTTTATTAAAATATAGGATATTGGTACCCTTTGCTTTAAAGGGTGACGTGGAATATATGTCGATTCTAATCTTCTTTTTAAGGCAGTTATAGTTTACACTAGAGGTGGGCACAGGCCGGGCCGGGCTCAAATTTGGAGGGACCAGACTGGATTTGTTTGAAAATGCAACGGGACGGGTAATAAGATTTTGAAATTTGGAATCAGATCTAACCCGCTCCATATAAAACGACCCAGTTCTTACGGGTCCACGGGTCCTTTGTTTTCAATTTTACAATTTTTTTTCTTTTCATTTTACGACTTCTGGAGATGTACATCCATAACAATGAAGCATCCACAATGATAATCCATGCCTAGAAACCCAATTGGTTTTATCCACTAATTAAAAAATCAAGATGGCTTAAGCCGAGCTGCTTTGTTTAAAAAAAAAAAAAAAAAGGGCATTTTCAATGAAAACCCAGATGCTCTAAAGTCTAAATTCCACAACAAATTCAGAAAGAAAGAAAAATAAAATCTATCTCAGATTTCCCACCATACCTACAGATTAATGAAAATCCAGATGGGCTAGATGCCAAATCTTGTAGAAAATTAAGATCTGAGAGGAGACACTGGAAGACTAAGAACAAAGGGCATGGTGATCGATTTCGATTCGCATAACGCTGACGATGGTGGTGTTTGACAATCTCGAGGTGCTGATCATGGGGGTCTTCGTCCTCTTTGCTTGGGACTGTAGAGTTCGACAATCTCGATTTCAATTTGGAAGAAGATGAGATGGTGATGAATTTCAATTTTGATTGAAGAGTTGGAAGACGGAGAGAGGGAGACAAAGACAGAGTCAAGGCTTTCGTGTCGAGTCAGTGAATTATGATGGCTTTCGTGAATGAATGGGAGAGAAAAGAGAGCAGTCTGACTTAGAAAAGATCCAATCAAACGATGGAGTGGATATGTGATTAAATCCAATCCAATAATCCAACGGTAAAAACGGTTCGGGTTAAGCCCCCATTTTTCCTTATTTTTGGCCCCGCCTCATTTCTTCTCCAAAATATTTCTACCCATCCCGTATCTGCCCGATTTGCTTGAACCCACCCCCACCCGCGGGTCTAGGACCTGTTTGCCCACCCTTAGTTTACACCCATTATCATACTTTCTATTATATTTTCACCTTCAAAAATAAGTCTTTTGATACACCCAAACCCAGAATGTCCAACTGGATTTCGAATCGAGCTGTGTTTGCCGACACCAAGATTGTGATGAAGCTATAAAGTGTAGTGATGTAGAAACCTAAGTAAATTTAAAACCTAAAGTGCCTAAATGTAAGAGTGCGCTTGTAAGTGGAAATGAACTCATTTCTCACATAACGTCAGAACATAAGTAAAGTACAGTAAAGTAGGATGAGAATTATACCATCGAAGGTAACCTCTTATACCAAGATTTGCCAAGATTCCTTGTCGATACGAAAGCTCAGCTACTAAAACCTGTAGGAGGAAAAACAAAGGTGAGTCGGCCTAAAAATAAAGCTTTGTAAAAACCTTTTCAAAAACATAATAACCTTTCGCTGTAAAACAAGTATAGTTTTTAAAATATACATACTATGTCTATTATGAAAATACTTACTGTAGCCTACAATATCACAAGAATTCAAAACGTCACAATATTTCTTTAACAAACACCTAACGTCCGATAATCACATCATCTCACATAAACAAACATATCATATCAAATGCTCATCACCATATGTTGACACACGAGTTCATGCAGAGATATTCTGACATGAACAGGACTGGGTGTAATAATGATTTATGCTCTAGTACTACAATCACATGAAGACTGGTGCTATGCACATCACATACGACTCCAAATTGCCTATAGCAATCTAGGACAGGACTGACACCTACAATGGATCCAAAGTGAGCGTACAGTGCGATGTGAACATACACGTGAAACCTGGCCTTGGCCCGAGCGAGTACAAATACCAGTGTAACACACGATGAGCAGAAACGTAAATATAGTACCACATTGATTCGATAAACCTAGTCAACAACATATTATTCAAATAAAATATTGATCATGGCCATATATAAAATTCCATAATAGTACGCTTAAATGTGCATCCCGTAGGATTTAGCATACTTTTGTAAATTCCGTCATTTCGCTAATTCTTATAAATGTTAACTAATCTAGGTATGCATAGTAAATTCTTTATTAAACATATATGGAAACTAGATAAATATATATAGTATGTAAAAGCAAAAACCTACTCACAAATTACGTCGTCAAGTCAAACCCGCCTCGCAGAAATTGAAGATCCTTACAATGCGTTTCACCTAGAACAAAACCATTCATACAAATATATAACATACTAACGTATAAATGTGTTTTATTACAAAGTACAGCAAATAAAGAAACTCTTTTAAAATAATCGAATTTCAAAAAACGAACAGTGGATTCGGATTCGGCACGTCCAAAAATTTAAGGAGAGACCTCAGGTTCCCCCACGCACCGCCGCATTTGCCGCCATGGGACAACGGCCTAGGAGGCCATGCGCCTAATTAAGTTGCTGAAAAGTCGTCGGCGCCGCCATCCACAGTACCTCCAAAGAGGCGCAAGTGCTCCACGCGCCAAGCACTGCAACACCACATGCATTTCACGTGTTCGCGAGTACAACAGCACTCACCATCTTCGCGAAGCACACGTTCGGCCTGATTTCTGGGCCAACTTCCAAGGCTAATATCTAGCTCGATTCACCACCAAAATCGATGATACAAAAACCAAATTGAAGCTAGAAATGTAGGGAGTCGATCTATACCTATTGGTAGTTCAGTCGTGGTTGGTGTTGCTCGGAAAGTTGGTCTGAAAGTGGTCGAATGGCCACGGTTTTTCCCTACCAGTTTTCTAGAAAATTGTCCCTGTGGTCTTTTTACGCTTGAACACCACCAAAACAAACGCGTAACTTCAGAAGTAAACTTAGACCAACAAGAAGGGAAAGATCAAGGAAATCATGAGGCTTACCTTGGTCGAGATTGTGGAGAACTCGCCGGAAAACTGCTCGAACATAAACAGTGCTATAATGACATGTAGGGTCTGGTCTGGGTTTGATATAAAGATCTGAGCTTAACAAAGGTGTGGGGAATGATAAGGTGTGGTGGTTTAACGGTTTGGCTCGCCAGAGCCAGTGAGTGATAGTGCTCAGATTTGCCAGATTCTCTACACTTACAGAGAGAGAAAGACAAGAGGGAGCTGAGAGATGAAAGTGTGAGTAAAGAGAGGTAGATTTGGATTTGTTGGAGAAGAGACACATGACGGAAAATGTGAGGAGAGTTAAGGTGAGGAGTGGGTCCCACATGCCTAAAAATATCACCCAAATAAAATAATAATTATGAGAAAAATATAAAATAATAAATAGTAATGTTTACAAAACTATTTTTCAGATTCATAGTTCCGTAAAATCTCCATTGTAACTTTGATTTCGGTTCTGTTTGTGCTTATGCGTTCATACCATTGAGTACTTCTAGAATACGATAAAATGGTAGCTCATATGCGTCACAAAAATATGGTCAACAAAAGTCAACAATCACACCTCAAGGGCATTTTCGTCAATTCACTACTTTAAAATTAATAAAATCGTAAAATTAGGGACGAGTTGTTACATCTTTCCTTTCTACTTGCTACTTGGAAACTTTTTTTGGGTAGATCCTATTATCATACTTCTATTCTATTTAAACCCTAGAAAGTCCTTGGTGACCACAATTTTTCTGTGTAAACGACCAAATTTTCTTGTTGATTGAGTTACAAAAATTATGCATCGTAACCTGTTTTACATATACATATATATTCTATTTGGGCCTTGGCATTCAAATTGTAAAGAGTGCTGCTAAACCCACCATATGTGGGGAGCAAAAAATAATCAAGAGACAACACATGAATTTTTGGGCAGAAAGGACAAAATTGCCCTTGAGGAGCACCAAAATTTCCACGCGCGAGTAGTGGACAATCATCCCACAATCAAGTCAAAAGTGCCCAAAATAGGTATTTATTCAAAACATATTTCATCTATCTTCTCCACAAGGTAACCCCCAAAACATTCCTTTTAAATTATGTTAATTAGCCAATTAATAGATTTATTACCTAATTAATCTATTAATGGAAAATTAAACTACCAATTAACTACAAAATACACTCAAAAACACCACAAAGTGCCGGTCACCTTCTCCCCCCATGCCCTATATGTACTACCCCATTTTCTCTAAAAACCTAGGTCTACACTCTTGCTAAATACTCAAAATTCTCCAAACACTTTTTCTCTCTAAATTCTAACTTTGGCATCAGAGGTTCTTCAGCCAAAGCCCCCCCCCCCAAATTCATCATGGGTGCGTGAAGCTCTTGGCCTTGACCTAAGGTGTTATTTGTTTTGTTGGTGCAATTTTGTCCAAGAACAAGGAGGAAGAAATTTGCATCCACAATATGTATTGTCCCCACACATTATAATCGCTCACCACAAAAAGTTAAAAAATTGAAATGTTATTTTTTCACCCACTATTGTTCCTAAAATATCGTCCATCTAAATTATTTTTTAAATTTTCAGAAGAATAAATATTAGAGTGCTGATAAGCCTAGCCAAGCCTTCACTCACTGCCAAGGTCTCCCTTCCCGATTTTTATTCTAGTTAGAATTTCATAATCCAGTCACTTCCCAGATCTCCAATCGATTGTATCTCTCATTCCCTCCCTTTCTTCATACCCCCAACCCCACCCCCTTCTCTCACCCTTTCAAATCCCACAACAAGAGTCATGTAGCATTCCCGAACTTTCATCCTCTTGCTCTATTTTCAAATTCGCGACAACCCAATCCCATCTCTCTTAGCTGAATTCTTTTTTCTGGTCTCACATTTCATTTTGCAAATTTTCAAATAAATAATTCATTAGTTGAATGTTTTGAATAACTATTATATATGATTAAACTAGAAGAATAGAAAAAGAAAATATTTATTTGAATGAATTGAGATAGTTGCAAGGAGATGGTGAACATAGTAGAGATCCATTTTTTCTTTTTCTTTATTTGATTTGGTCCTTAAATGTCATTTTAAAATAGGATAAGATTGGTATTAAATTTTTTTATTAAAAAGTAGGTGGAGAGATACTATAGTGTGATAGGTTTATCAGCACTCATTTCAAATTAAGGACCAGATAAATGAATTTTTTTAGGGATGAATTAAGAAAAAAAAGTTTGTGCAAGGGTTTATTAATAATTTTCTATTCTTTTTTCTCTTTTTTTCTTTGTACTCTCTTTTTGAAAATATCCATATAGGTACAAAATTAGTAGTTATACCTAAAAATATATCGTGCACCTATGATTTTATGCGCATAAATGATGTTGTTTACTTACCCAATCCATTCAATTTTGGGGCAATTTTTGTGAAAACCGCAGTTTTGCTTAACATTTTGAGTTGGTAGATACTTATTTTAATCCATAGAATACACAAAGTTTCTATATGTTTCAAGAACGATGGATTGCGTCAAAAGTCAAAAGTAATCATGACCTTTTATTATCATTAGCCTTTATGCACGTGTTCACATGTGTGCAGAAAACATTTTTTGAATTAGCGTACTACACGTGACTTACACGTTTTAAATATATTTATATGCGTAAATTGATAAAAAGGAAAGTCAAATATTTAAAGTAAATGAATAATCTTAGATCATGCAAGAAGAAACCCTTCATAAACTAATTAAAGCAGCTGAATTTACATAATAAATTCGGTCTCTATAAAATTTACATGAAGAATAGAGAAAATAATATTTAGTAAACAATTGATTGAATCACATTATTGCTAACCTATTGTGAGGCTAAGCCCACCCCCTCCCCTTAGTATAGATAATATTGTTTGTTAAAAAAAAAAATTATTTGAAAACTAATTTAATCACATTATTATCCGCGTACGAAATACATTTTTTATAACCAACATTACACGACTCTTAAGATGTTTTGAACGTGTTTAAAAATAGAGAAAATAATATTTAACAAACAACTGATTGAATCACATTATTGCTAGCCCATTGTGAGGCTAAGCCCACCCCCTCCCCTTTAGTGTAGATAATATCGTTTGTTAAAAAAAAAAAAAAAAAAAAAACAATCATTTGACAACTAATTTAATCACATTATTATCCGCGTGCAGAAGATTTTTTTTATAACCGGCATTACACACCACTTAAGATGTTTTGAACATGTTTAAAATAGAGAAAATAATATTTTATAAACAACTGATTGAATCACATTATTGCTAACTTATTGTGATGCTAAGCCCACCTCTACCCCCTTAGTGTAGATAATATCGTTTATTTAAAAAAAAAAAAATCATTTGACAACTAATTTAATCACATTATTATCCGCATGCAAATAACATTTTTTTATAACTGGCATTACACATCTCTTAAGATGTTTTGAACGTGTTTAAAAATAGAGAAATTAAATCACATTATTGCTAGCCTATTGTGAGGTACTAATTAAAAGATAAATAAAACCACAAAAAAATAATTATTCAAAAAATACTATTAAAATGATGAAAATGCCCCTATCTTATTTGATGCATTATTTTGGGATGCCTTTGAAGTTTTTTGTCTTGGGAGCATTTTTGTCCAAATAATTTTGTTGAAGTTTGGTGATACCAAAATCACTATTTACCTTTTCCATTGGCTCTATATATAGAAGATGTGAACATAACATATGCAAATTGCATCACATAAATAAGCAATTTACATCTTATGCCCAACTGACCCTTAGATGTTCATCCATCAAACTCTAATTAAGAAGTGGACGTGAAGTTGAAGTTGGCACAAGTACTTTGTCTAAACAACAATGAGGAGCTAAACCCTAGCCTCTTATTAGCCAAATCAAACTGCAAAAGATTGTCCTCCAATTGATGCCCTCCAATCACAACTGAATTCCTTGGCCTAACACCACCATCCACAAATCCCAAACACAATACGTCCTTGCTCACTTGCACCATTGAGTTTGCACCATAGAACCTCCAGTACACTCCTTTGCTCAGAACAAGGTCAATGGGAGGCACTGCCGTGCCAACACGAGTGCTACCGATGCTCGTTGAGTTGAAGCAAGCTCCGAAAGGTGCTACTGGTTTCGCTCTTGGTATGCGAGAAATTTGTTTCACAAAAGCATTGATCACGGCCCTGTAGATTGAGGTCTCCAAGACCGTGTAAAGCTTCAAGGTGCTAATCTTTGTGCCACCATAGCCTTCAGTGTTGATGTTTAGCAATGAAGTAGAGTTGAATGAAACAACCTTGCCAATGATCTCAATTGACTTTACTTCGACGAAGTAGTCTGCCGAAGGGTTGCCCATGAAATAAGAACCTGCGGTGCTCACGGGGTTGAGGATTGAATGAAACAACCTTGCCATTGATCTTAATTGACTTTACTTCGACGAAGTAGTCTGTCGAAGGGTCGCCCATGAAATAAGAACCTGCGGTGCTCACGGGGTTGAGGATCAATTTCGTGAAGGTAAGTGACTTAGAGATGTCGATGCCAAGAAGGATAACATAAGGCCCACCCCCGAAGAAAATGACGCCATTTGGGGCTGGTTTGGTATTGTTGTGCTTTGAAAAAATGTTGTTTCTGCTGTGCTGTGAGAATAAGCAGCTGTGAAATAAAGCAGCAGAGTGTTTGGTAAACTTTTTTGTAAAAGTGCTTTTGAAAAAAAAAAAAAAAAAAAAAAAAAAAAGGCAATATTATAGTGTTTGGTAAACTTTTATGTAAAACAAATATGAAAAAAAGCCGGTTTTTCAAAGTTGGGTTTTGCAACTTCTTGTTTTTGGTTTTTTTCACCCAAAACTGTGAAAAAAGCTGAAGCTGAATGTTTACCAAACACAAAAACAGCTCTCAGCTTTTATTGATACCAGTTTTTTTTAGAGTCACGTCAGTATCAAACCAGACCTTGATCTTGTAAAAAAGGACAAGCAAAGGGCGAATTTTCTTTGGAAGTGAAAAGCGGAAGCCATCTGAGAGGGAATTCCAACTTTGGACCTGCCGAGACCGGCCATGCCCTTGACACCATTGGCTAGGCCATTCAAAAGTGATGTGTCACCCCAACTAAAGAGGAGGTTGGGTGTAGAAACAACCCTACCAGGATTGGACCCATCTGTAGAAGAGAGAGACACGACATCTTGACCAAGTTGACCGCCGCCGGTGATTACGGCGGCTAGAGGGTTGTCTGGGACATTGTCACATGTGTTGTTGTAGCACCCTGGCTTAGGAGAACTGAAGCACTCTGTAGTGCAAGACTTGGACTCGGCAAGTTGGCATTGGGACGAGCCGCATTGTGCAGGCTTGTAGGTGGATGAGATGTTGCCTTTCTCACAGTCCACCCAAAGGGATAGACCACCAAGAGCTATGGTTAGTTTTATGGGGACTAGAGGGGTTCTTTGCTTGATGGTAGTGAGGTATTGGAGAGTAGAAGCGTCTTTTGCTACTTGAAGAACAAGGGCCTTGGGTTTGAATGATGAAGTTTTGGCTAGTGAGGGGGTGATTATCGATTGGGTCAAGACTGCTGAGCAAAAGAGAATAAAGCAATGAAGGAAGGACGTCATTATGATATGAATTTGCTTTATTGCTAGTTAAAAATCTAGAGGTGATGGTTGTTGAAGCAGCGAGAGGAGGAAATGCCAATTTATAGAAGTTTCTAGTCTTTTAATATTGTTCTCTTTTTAAAACGATAGGATAATTTACGAGCTTTTATTTATTTATTTTTTTAGTACATCGATATTTTTATACTAAGAGGAGGGGGAGTTCGGCAAAGTTACACAATGGGCAACCTAATTTAGTATCGAATTTGCCATCCACGAGATTCAAACCTAAGACCTCTTCCTAATTTACAAGTTTTATTTAACAACAGAAAAAAGTTCGAACTTTAATGCAAAAGCACATATTTTAACAAAATTGGACTAAATCTATGTCTACAAGTTTTTTAATCTGTTGATGAGTTTGAACAAAAAATGTATTATTCTTAGTATATTTTGTATGCTATAGTTGTATCACCTGTTAATAGAAGTGAGATTTATTGTATTAGTAGGTTGTATTGTAAGTAGAAGTAATACAAATGCGATATACAAATGACAATAATTGTACTATTTACTCCACCAAAATACAAGACAAGCTAGCGACTATATGACCTGGTTTGGTACTGAGGTGATTCTGAAAAAAATTGGTATAAAAAAAAATTGGGAGCTGTTTTTGTGTTTGGTAAACATTCAGCTTCAGTTTTTTTTTTTCACAGTTTTAGGTGAAAAAAAAAGCCAAAAACAAGAAGCTGCAATACCCAGCTTTGAAAAATCGGTTTTTTTTCACATTTGTTTTACATAAAAGTTTACCAAACACTATAATATTGGTTTTTTTTTTTTTTTTTTTTCAAAAGCACTTTTACAAAAAAGTTTACCAAACACTCTGTTACTTTATTTCACATCTGCTTATTCTCACAGCACAGCAGAAATAACTTTTTTTTAAAGCATAGCATAGCAATACCAAACCAGTCCTATAACAAGTTTGTAGAGGTGTGGGCAGGTCATTTTAAATGAATATATGGGTGGCATGGTGGTGGCTAAAACTAGAAGACTTTGACTGGGCACGCACGTGGTAAATTGGGAGATGCAATGAACCCACGTTAGCTCTTCTAAGTCAACGTGGCAAAATGGGAGATGATATGAACCCACGTTAATCCGGATGAGGATTCCAAAAATCTGTAAATCGTCGTACATTATGCAGTAAAAAAATTATTTTAAATATTTTTATTTAAAATTAAATACAAATAGTACCTAAGAAAAACTAAACGCACGATATACAATAAACAAACATAATTCATAAATTCCTGAAATCCTCACTAAATGAATCCGAAAAAGATCATGTTGGAACCTGTTACGTCTTTTAAGTCAAATTAATTATATTTTTAATAAATGATAGTATTTATATTAAGGGCCTAAGAGATTAGACTATGTCTTACAAATTTTTTTTTAAGGTAATACGCTATCTTTATTGAAAAAAACCGTCAAGGGGCTAAATCATGGATGAGTACAACCCAAAAAAATTATAGGGTTCCTGGAACTATACTTTTGAGTCATCACTATTTAAACTGGACTTAGTTAAACAATAAGCTACTCTATTACAATTACGAAGGATATACGAAATCGTACACCCTTGAAACTGAGAAATCAAATCCTGAATATCCTTAGCTATAAATTCAAGACTCGAGAGATCCCCAATACTATCCTTGCAACCTGCCACCGCTTCCATAGTCCTACTCCATCGCTATATGCGTGACCCCAATGGATTTCTCCAACTGCAACCCAACCAAGATGGCAAGAAGCTCCACATGTTTGACCGAAGCAGTCCCTTGAAACCTCCTCACCACCGCCGCCCTGAACAAACCACCAACCCCCTGAACCACTCCTCCAGCACCTCCCTCCCCCACCCCGTCCATAATAATGTGATTCAACTTTGTTTTGGCGAGAATCAAATCTAAGATATTTTACTTACAATTAAAAATGAATATCACTGGACCATAGTATTAAATGGCCAAATTAATTATAAGCTCATTTGGATATGCTTTTAAAATGACCAAAAGTGTTTTTGGTGAAAATGTTTTTAAAACCAATTTTTAGTAAACATGAAAGTAAATTCTGGAAAAGTACTTAAATTGCTTTCTACAGGAAGCACCATGCTTTCAGTCATTTTAAAAGTACATTCAAATAAGCTCTATATTAAAAGGCTTGGAGTGTGCTCCGAAACGTAAATGGTTGATGAACATTCAAAGTTCTAAAATAGCAATGAAGAGAAGATTAATTATGTTAGTGCATATTTATTGGAATGAGTAAACTATTAATTTATCCCCTGAACTTTCACTTAACTTTTGATTTCCCCTCTGAACTTTGCTATTGGAAAATTAAGGACTCAAACTAATTTTTTTAGCCGATTTGCCCCCTACCATTAGTTTTTCATATATTCCATATATATTTTTGTTAAGTGAGAGCATGTGCACAACATGTGAGGGTGGTTAAGTTATTTCATTCTTAAAAATGATTAAAAACTGAAAATAAATAAATAAACAAAATTTTTCCTCTATTTTTTCCCGCTAATTCTTATCCTCAATTTTATTTTTCCCTCTTATTTCTATGCATGAGAAATGACATATGGTGTTATTGTCTTCATAAGTAGCCAAGTTAGTCTTTTTCTTGAAGCATGTACTACCATTTTTATTTTCTCTAACAAATTAATAATTTGACAAATGTTTATGGTTTTATTGTCTCCAAAGCAATGCATTAATATAAGAAACATGTTCATCATACTCATAAAAAAAATGCTCAAGATAATTACATACTTTTCATAATATCATAATAATCCCAATACAATTCCACAAAATGATCCTTAAGAAGTTGGAAAACATAACACCTTCAACCTTACTCAACCATCATAAATGAAAATAGGTTTAGGTACAAGATTCCAACCAAACGTGGAATGCCATGGAAAGTGTAGTTGATCTCCACGTGTCATGTGCGTTTCAAGCAGAATGTTTGTGCTCTTGTTTTGATAACTTAAACCTTATTTTGCTTGTGTTTGGTTAAGTGGAATGCCCATATTTTGTAATCGAGATTCTATGGGTTATATACCTTATGCATGGTAAAATCTCTTATGTTTTACAACTTCTTAAGGATCATTTTGTGGAATTGTATTGAGATTTTTATGACATTATGAAAGGTATGTAATTATCTTGAGCATTTTTTATGAGTATTATGAACATGTTTCTTATATTAATGCACTGCTTTGGAGACAATAACACCATGAGCATTTGTCAAATTATTAATTTGTTAGAGAAAATAAAAATGCTAGTACATGCTTCACGAAAAAGATTAACTTAGCTACTTATGAAGACAATAACATCCTATGTCATTTCTCATGCATAGGAATGAGAGGGAAAAATAAAATTGAGGATAGGAATTAGCGAGAAAAAATAGAGGGAAAGTTTTGTTTTTTTATTTATATTCAGTTTTTTAATCATTTTTAAGAATGAAATGACTTAACTACCCTCACATGTTGTGCACATGCTCTCACTTAACAGAAATATGGATGAAATATATGAAAAACTAATGGTAGGAGGCAAATTGGCTAAAAAAATTAGTTTGAATCCTTAATTTTCCAATAGAAAAGTTCAGGGGGGAAATCGAAAATTAGGTGAAAATTCAGGGGGTAAATCGACAGTTTACTCGTATTGTAATTGGCATTTTTCTAGCTTAAATTTAGTGTGTAAGTTGAGTTTTATATGTTAGGATTGGTTTTACTGAAGGTATTTGTAGACACCGAAATTTCAGTGAATAAATGTTAATCAACACATTAAAATTACTACATTTATTCATTTCACCTACATCACACACTCATTTCACCTACAACTTCCATTTACTTCATCGACCTCACACACTTATTTCACCTACATCACACACTCATTTCACCAACAACTTCCACTTACTTCACCAACCTCACACACTTACTTCACCTACCAACTCCATTTATTTCACCTACAACATCCACTCACTTCACCAAAAAAATGGATGGTGGTGATTCACTCTCAAAGCCTATAAATAGGCTTCTCCATCAAGAGAAAAAGGGAGAGGAATTTATATCACACCAAAAGCTTGAAGCCTTGAAACTCTAAAGCTCTCAAGAAAATCCCGAATGATCAAGAAAGCACTCTTCGTTCTTCATCAAATCCTCCTTCAAGATCAAGCCCCAACGGTCCTTGAAAAACTTTCACCAACTCAAGATCAAGCCCCGACGACCCTTGAAGAAAGTGTTCATCATTCATCATCCGTTCATCCTAAGATTAAGCTCCAACGGCCATTTGGATCAACAACCTCAACAAATCCACACGTCCAATCGTTCTTCAAGATTAAGCCCAAAAGCCCTTGAAGAAATCCACACAACCATTACTCAAGATCAAGCTCAAAAGCCCCCTTGAAGAACTTCCACCAACTCAAGATCAAGCCTCGACGACCCTTGAAGAAAGTGTTCATCGTTCATCATCCGTTCATCCTAAGATCAAGCCCCAACGGCCCTTTGGATCAACAACCTCAACAAATCCACACATCCAATCGTTCTTCAAGATTAAGCCCAAAAACCCTTGAAGATCCGCTCATCCATCAACCTTCAAGATCAAGCCCAAAATCCCTTTGAAGAAATCCGCACAACCATTATTCAAGATCAAACCCATAAGCCCCCTTGAAGACCCGTTCATCAACCTTCAAAGATCAAGCCCTGAAGGCCCCTTGAAGAAACTTCCCTCAACCTTCAAGATCAAGCCCCAACGGCCATTGAAGAAACTTCAAACTGTTCATCCAAGATCAAGCCTCGACGGCCCTTGGATCAATCACACATCCACAAATCAACACCTTACAGAGATCGAATCAGAGGATCAAATTACAAAGAGATTGTAACCCCAAAATCATTAATCAATACAAAAAATATATTTTGTATTTCATGTTTACAGTATCAAACATCAAGCCTAACTGATGTTCGTTGTTTTACAGTAACTAAGTCACAATCTTAAGTTTAAGACAATAAATGAGACTTAAAAACCTACGTGCATTCTTAGGTGGAACATAAAAATATTTTTGAGGAAAAGGTATTATTTTGCGTGCAAGATGGAAGTGTCATTTCAATCCTATAGAAACTAATTGGGTTTGAGGGTCATTTTTCTAGGAATTCCGTGATCGTGACCGTTCATCGTACATTATGCGGTTAGAAATTATTTTAAAATTTAAAATTAAATATAAATAGTACCTAACGAAAACTGACCTCACGATGAATAGTCACAATCACACCGGATCCTTTTCCTTTAAAGCTAATCAATATAATTAACTTTTCGTTTGTGGCTACAATTTAGGCGTGGGTATTAAGTAGGCATGGCAAACGGATCGTGTCTGTCGTTTTCGTGTAACACCTGTTATCTTAACGGGTCGTGTCGGGTCATGCCCATTATCTTAACGGGTCCTTAATAGGTAAAGTGACCTGACCCGTTATGATCCATTAAGAAAAATATATTTTTTTTCTTAAATTTGCACATACCACACATTACCGCATAAATATTACTTCAAAACATTAAAACACATTTGTCGTTTAAGTACTACATCTACACTCGAAAATAAGAGCTTAATAAAATAATATCCATACACTACTAATATATTACAAAATATTAAATGTGCAAGGATATGCAAAATGAAGGAGTTTTTGTTTTCAAGGTTGTGAAGCATTTCTCAAAAGTTTAAGTACTGGTTTGGTATTTGGTAAACACTTAAAAACAATTTATTTTCACAGTTTTGGGTGAAAAAAAGCTGAAAACGTGAAGCAACAAAAATGACTTATTCTCACAGCACAGCAGAAGCAGTTTTTTTTTTTTCAAAGCACAGCAATACCAAATCAGCCCTAAACCTTGCCAATGGAACTCAAAGCTTGCATGTTATTCCTTTTACAAAATCCTCAATTTTCATCGAATCATCATGAGCAAATTGTATTGAAATTTTGGCTTGATCTATTGCCTTCAAGAGTTATGTTGATGATGTTTTCAGTAAGGTTTTTCACGTCAGAACTCTCTTCGGTATAAACTAAGTATAGAAAAACCAAACATTAAAAACCATTCAAATTATGAGAAGTTTACCAAAATAATTATGAAAATAAATATATAAAACAATAGTAATAAGCCATATAAAAATATATTAGCCTTCAACCTAATGCACAATGGACAGCTGAGATTAAATCCAATGGTCACCAATTTTTTAAATTAAATTTAATATATATATATATATATAATTATTATAGTTTTTAGGGGTTTAAAATTGTTAAATTAATATATATAATTATTATAGTATTTTTTTAGGGTTATAAAATTATTAAATTAATATTTTGCTTATCATGTATCGTGTTACCCAAGTGTATACCCGAACCAACCCGTTATCTTAACAGGTGCTTATCGGGTTACCTGATAACGACCCGATTCGGTATCGTGTCGACCCGAATACCTGTTAATTTTGTGTCGTGTCATGTCGGGTTATCGGATCGTGTTAGGAATTGTCAAGCCTAGTATTATGAAGTGAATGGTCAAAGGCTTTGGAAATAAAGCCCATGAAATTTGAAGTGTTGGTGTTAGGGTTTACAATTAAAATATATATGAATGATGCTAGGGATATCAAATTGTTAAACAAATAATGTGCCATTAATAGGAAATAAATTAATCAACACTTATTCATAATCCAATCATCAACATCCACATCATTTGGTTTAAAATTTTAATCTCCATAGCATTGTGTTGCATTAGAACATACGCACAGATACACAAAGAGCAGAGATCTGAAATATTGAGAGAACTCACACATGTTTTAAAGAGAAAAAACTTTGTGTGTGTGTTAAACAATAATTTTTAATTGAGTTCATGTGCATATCATGTTCCTCGAAAATTTGTTCCGTGTTTGAGATTGTGTGTGAAAGATTATGGGGAGAAGAGTCCTGCAGTGAGATTTTCATCATGGTGAAAGACAACGTAGCGACTATGTAAATCCTGAGAGTTTTGGAAGGTGTCTTTGTGTGCTAGGCTAGGTTGCATAAGTCCATTGGGTGAGTCTCATAAAGGTACACTTTTCATATTGGATTGGTTTCACTAGTTGTGTGCCCGAGGATGCTTTCCCATGTGTTGGAGTTTTACCTTGCTAAGTCCTTGTGTTATGTAATTTAGTTTTGTACACGTTATTATCTACGTAATAAAATCCATATCCGCTTTCAATCTAGCTTGTTGTTTGATTGTTATTTGCATTTGCTCATTGCACTTGTTAGTCCAACTTGTTTTCTATTTCCGCTAAATGCCTGATCAACTTGATTAATAATTAAAGTTTGGCTTGCATTGGAGAGTACACATCAATAAATAAGTTTGTTGTATGCATTGTCTTGAGGACAATACTTCCCTCGTCAAGAGGGAGGAACTTTCCTCTGTTTGTATTGACGTAATATCATTTTACTACGCAATAATGATAATTAGAATAGTTAATTTTTTTATTTATATAGATGATTAAATGATCTTCAAGTATATAGTATAAATAGATAATAAGAATTCCTTCTCTAATAAATAAAGGTTGAGTGAGTAAAGATGGTAGATGAGTTCGGAAATGGATCCTTTCCAGATCCCTTTCTCCTAATCCACCAAATTCGGGATCCACACCGTTGAAATTTGATCCAACAGTTAAAGTTATTATAACTTTTAAAGTGAGCCCCTGTTTGTAGCCGTTTGATCAAATTTCAACGATCCAAATCCCCGAACTTAAAGAATTAGAAGGTAGAAATCCGAAGAGGATCCTTTCCGATGAGTTCCTTCCCAGAAGCTGATCCAATATACATTTATCCACTACATAAAAAAGTTGGTCGCATCGAATCACACCCAAGAAGATAAACACTGACCAACTCTCACTACATGTGGTCTACTCAGCACAAATTCAGAATATCCCAATCCCTTATCCACTTCCATTACTTTGTATCTTTTCTGGTCAATAGCCGCGGCAAACCGCAAAAGCACCAACTTTTTCCACCCTTTATTTATTTTATCATCACCTTCTTCCTTTGCCAGATTTCCCAAAATATCTATCTCTCTCTGATTTTCTTTCATGGCTTCTTCTCTGCATTTTCTTCTTCTTTTCTCGTCACTTCTGTACAATTTCAGCATATATCAAGCCAAACCCTTCAACCCAACAGATGGTCTCATTTTTCATGTGAAAAAAGATGTGTCCACCCTCCAGTACGTGACCGAAATTCACGTTGGCACTCCACTTTTACTATCCAAGCTTGCAGTTGATCTGGGCGGTCCATTTCCCTGGTTCAACTGTGCACCTTCGTCTTCCAGCCGTCTGGTTAACAAGCGCTCAATCCAGTGCCTTGCAGCAAAGCCAAAAACCCATCAATATCAGGGAAGCAACAAGAAGTGTCATATTTTCACGGAGAATAGGATCACCCAAATGGCAATCCAAGGGGATCTAGTGGAAGACATCATGGCCATTAATCAAGTCACAGATGGTTCAAAGACAGGATCAAAATCAATCACCACCGTTGACTACAACTTCCAATTTTCTTGTGCACCCTTGCTGTTGTTAAACGGCCTAGCAAGTGGTGCCAAGGGAATGTTAGGCCTCGGAAGGACTCAAATGTCAATGACCTCACAAATTTCTGCCCAACTCAGCTCCAAACTCCAGTTCATCATCTGCCTTTCTTCATCCAACGGCGTTGTATTACGTGAAAACGGCCACCGCAGTTCGAATTTTCGCACGAAAATTCCGGACTCAATGATATACACACCCCTTGTTAACCAAGTTGAGACACCACATGAGTACGTCATCAATTTGAAGTCCATTAAAATTAGTGGGAAGAAATTGTCTCTGGGCATTGAAGAAGGGAAGATTAAGCTAAGCACAATTGTTCCCTACACTACCATGGAGAGCTCAATTTATGCTACATTTACTAAAGCTTATGAGCAGGCAGCAACGTCTATGAACATAACTAGGGTTTCCCCTGTGGCACCATTTGGGCAATGTTTTAGTTCACGAGAAAATGATGGCACGTTTGTAGGTCCAAAAGTGCCCGCTATCGATCTGGTGCTGCAGAGTGAGATGGTAAAGTGGAGAATTCACGGCAGAAACTCGATGGTTCAAGTGAGCGATGAAGTTATGTGTCTGGGGTTTTTGGATGGAGGCTTGTGAAAGAATTTAAGCTAGGATTGTAAACATAGATTGTATAAACTCAACTCAATTAATTATGAGTGAGGTATGGACTTCATTATATAGAGATTACAAGATGAGGTTGGTTACATATCATCTGATTACATTTGAAATTCAAAACTAAGTTACACATGAGTTTTAGATAAGGAAGAAGTGTGATTCCTTGCTATCTGTTGAAGAGGTTGAAGAGTATCCAACTTGTGTGGCTGACTTGGAGAGACGTTTACCATGCATTTCGGACGTGGAGAGATATCTTGAATAGTTGGTTTATCACGCCCCCGCAAGCTGAGTGGACGTTGACAAACAGGAAGCTTGGAGATGAGATAACTAAAACGAGCTGTGGACAAACCCTTGGTTAAGAGATCCGCGAGTTGGTCAACGGAAGAAACATATCCCACAACTAGTTCTTTGCGAATTACTTTTTCTCTAACATAATGATAATCAACTTCCACATGACGCATACGAGCCTGATAGACTGGATTGGAAGCTACTGCCAAGGCACTGATATTGTCACACCACAATTGTGGTGGATTTAGAGGGAGATGAAGATCGCGGAATATGTGGCGGAACCAAGACAAGGTGGCAGAGGTATAGGCCATTTGGCGATACTCAGCCTCTGTACTTGAGCGAGACACACCTCTTTGTTTTTTAGAACTCCAAGAGATCAAGTTATCCCCTAGAAAAATGCAATGGCCACCAGTGGAGCGACGATCATCGGGGTCACCAGCATAGTCGGCATCGGCAAAGGCTGTGAGGGACAACGAACTGGGTTTGTAAACGATACCGTGATTATGAGTGGCTTTCAAATAGCGAAGAATGCGCTTGACTGCAGCCCAATGTGTAGTTGTGGGTGAATGCATATATTGACAGACTTGATTTACAGCGAAAGCAATGTCAGGCCGTGTGAATAAGAGATATTGGAGAGCCCCAACAACACTGCGAAAATTTGTACCATCATCCAAGGGCTCACCCTCATACAAACTAAGCTTGCGGCCAGGGAGGGCTGGAGTAGACAATGGTTTGGCGTCAGCCATGTTAGTTCGTTTGAGGAGGTCCAGGATATATTTTGACTGGGTTAAATACATGGCCGTCGGTGTTCTCGTAATTTCCATTCCCAAAAAATAATGCAAGGCCCCAAGGTCCTTCATTGAAAATTTGTTTCCCAATTGATGAATCAAGGTGGAGATGTGAGATGGATTATTACCTGTAACAAGGATGTCATCAACGTATATGAGTAAATAAATAACAGTAGTTCCATTGAAGTAAATGAACAGTGAAGAATCTGCCATTGATGCATGAAACCCGAGCTCTTCCAAATGTTGAGAGAAACACTGAAACCAAGCACGTGGAGCCTGTTTTAAGCCGTATAAGGACCGTCGAAGACGACATACATGTGCTGGAAACTGTGGATCGACAAAGCCAGAAGGTTGGCGCATGTAGACTTCCTCAGTTAAGGAACCATGGAGGAATGCATTTTTGACATCAAGCTGGCGTATTTGCCAGTTAAAATGAAGAGCCACGGAGAGAATAAGTCTGATGGTTGCATGAGTGACGACAGGACTAAACGTCTCGCTGTAATCGAGTCCTTCCTGTTGACGAAAACCATTGGCAACAAGACGTGCTTTAAACCTTTCAATGGAGCCGTCAGATTTACGTTTAATACGGTACACCCATTTATTTGGGAGAACATTCATTGTGGAATGAAAAGGAACCAGGGACCACGTTCCTGTTTGTTGCAGAGCATTGAACTCTTCTGCCATTGCCATACGCCATTCAGGGAACTTATTTGCCTGTGTAAAACAAGTAGGCTCAACAAGGTCATTAGTCACATCAGAAATAAGCGCATATTTGGGATTGGGTTTTTGAATGCCATCCTTTGAACGGGTGACCATGGAGTGAACAGGTTGACTGTGGCGTGGAGAGGAAGATGAGACAGGAGCAACACCTACTGCATTCGTAGAGGATAGAGGTGGGGAAAGGGCAGGTATAGAGTGTACAGGTGAGAGGGGTGATGGGGATGGAATAGGATTATTTAATATAGGTGAAGAGGTAATATGTGGTGGTGTTGATGATGGAGTGGAAGGAATGGTGGGGTTCGGATGTAGTGGGAAATTAGGTGGAATAGGGGTAGGTTGAGTGGAAAGTAAGGTGGGATGGTGCGGGTTTTTGGGAAAAGTAGGAGAAAAAGGGTTAGGTTGAGTGGAAAGTAAGGTGGGATGCGGATTTGGTGGGAAAGTAGTGGAGCTAGGAGTCCTAGGGGGATTTATTAAAGGATGGGAATCAATGGTCAGTATTGTAGATGACGGGGAGGAGGAAGGCTTTGTAGAAATGGATTCTTTGTAGGGGAAAACTGTTTCATCAAATAAGACATGACGTGACAAAAATATGCGACCGGTGGACATATCTAAACACCTATAACCATGTTGATTTAATGAATATCCTAAGAAAATGCAACGTTTGGAACGAAATTGTAACTTATTAGTATTATAGGGACGAATATAGGGAAAACATGCACACCCAAAAACTTTAAGAAAATCATAGTTAGGAGGTTTGTGAAACAACTTTTGAAAAGGAGACTCATCATGGAGAACTCTAGTTGGTAAACGATTGATCAAATAAGTTGCTGTATGAAAAGCATCATCCCAAAATGAAGTAGGTAAGGATGAATGAGCAAGTAGGGTGAGGCCAGTTTCAACTATATGACGATGTTTTCGTTCAGAAATGCCATTTTGTTCGGGATGATGTGGACATGTAAAGCGATGGAAAACTCCATGTTGAGTTAAAAAAGTTTTAAAAGTATTGTTGACGTACTCTCCTCCTCCATCGGTTTGGAGTGATTTTAGTTTAGTATTAAACAAGTTTTCAACCAGTTTCTTGAATGACACAAAAGTAGAAAAAACATCGGATTTTAATTTTAATGGATATAGCCAAGAGTAGCGGGAATAATCATCAATGAATACTACATAATATTTAAAACCATTTATAGAAAATGAAGGTGAAGTCCATACATCGGAATGAACCAATTCTAATGGAGACAAAGACCTAGAAGTTGACAATTGAAAAGGTAACTTGTGACTCTTACCCATGGGACATGAGTGACAGAACTCACTAGTGACAACGCCTTTAATGGGCAATTTATTCCTAGAAACCAAACTTTGTAAAATATGAGAAGATGGATGACCTAACCTAGAGTGCCAAATTGAATTGGACACTCTAGTACCTAAAAATGCAGACACGCCTTTATTTGTTGATGAAACACCAGAGAAGGGGTAGAATCCATTTCTACTCGGGCCTTGTAAAAGCATCCTCCCCGTGTGAAGATCCTGAACAGAATACGAATTAGGATATAGGGTTAGAGAGCAATTATTTTCTTTGGTAAAGCGATGAATTGAAATAATATTGGTGGATGCATGTGGACAAAGTAGTGTATTAGGTAAGCTAAAGGTGGAGTGAGGTGTACGAATGCAAGTGGTCCCTATGTGTGAAATTGGCAAACCTGTTCCACCAACTCCATTGACTTGGTCCATGCCATTATAAGGATGAGTATTCGAAAGACTGGCAGAATTATTTGTGATGTGAGCATTAGCCCCTGAGTCAAACAACCACTCCTGTATGGCAGGTGTTGTGGCAGAGGCAGAAGGTGCCGTAGCAGCAAACGCTTGCAAGCGAGGTGCAGGAACGCGTCCCTCATAAGACATGTTTAGGCGGTTGAAGCAGTCGATCGCAGAATGGCCATGACGACTGCATATTTGACATTGAATGCGTCCAGTAGTGAAAGGACTGTGGGAAGGAGCTGGGCCGAGAATCCCATCATTTTGGCGAGAGTGGGAGCCTGGGTGAGGGTTGGACCCGTGGTGAGAGTGGGATCCTTGATTAGAGGGAGATCCTTGGTGAAAGTGAGGAGAGTTGCAGTGGCGATTTGAAGAGCCACGACCACTAGGAAAATGACTACGACCGCGAAACCCAGTAGAGGAGCCTCGTCCCCGAAAAGATGCAGGTGCACGGTTGCCATTGCGGCCTGCTACAAGGGCAGTGAGGCCGTGGTCAGTACCAAATGCAGTATGCATTTTCTGTCGTCTTTCAGCGCCAAGGAGAAGTGCTTCCAAAGCACTGTAGGTAATGGCCTCATCACGAGCTTGGGCGGAGGCAACGGTGCTTTCATAGGCAGGGCCTACGTTGTTGAGAATGATGGCAACAACATCGGAGTCTGAAACAGGAGCACCAGAGAGAGAGAGAGTATCTGCGAGACAATTAACTTTATCCAAGAATTCAGAGATGGAAGAATCACCTCTGTGAGTATTCATCAACTCACTGCGGAGTTGGAGAAGGCGACCGGTTGACTGAGAAGCATATCGATCACGTAGGGTTGTCCATGCAGAATGGGAGCTAGTTTTCCCAATTAAAGCAGCAAGTACGGTAGGGTGAACAGAAGAGTTGATCCAGGACATAACAGTGGCATCCTGTTGGATCCAAGTATCGAAGTCGGGATTGACTTTGTCAGTGATGTTGCCATTATCATCTTTCAAGTATGCTGGAGGACACGGACTGGTTCCGTCGACAAAGGAAACAAGATTACGACTGCGGAGGAGAGGTAGCATTTGGGCGTGCCAGAGGGGGTAGTTGGTACGATCAAGTTTGATCGTGAGAAAGTTGGAGACATTTGGGAGGGGAATGGGAGAAGCCATGTGAGAAGAGAAAAAAAATAATATGTCGTTAGACTTTTAGCTCAGAGATACCATGAAAGAATTTAAGCTAGGATTGTAAACATAGATTGTATAAACTCAACTCAATTAATTATGAGTGAGGTATGGACTTCATTATATAGAGATTACAAGATGAGGTTGGTTACATATCATCTGATTACATTTGAAATTCAAAACTAAGTTACACATGAGTTTTAGATAAGGAAGAAGTGTGATTCCTTGCTATCTGTTGAAGAGGTTGAAGAGTATCCAACTTGTGTGGCTGACTTGGAGAGACGTTTACCATGCATTTCGGACGTGGAGAGATATCTTGAATAGTTGGTTTATCAGCTTGAACTTGAAGACTTCGATGGTAATAGGGGGTTATCAGTTGGAGGATACCCTTTTGCATTTTGATGTAGGAGCTTCTAGGCTAGGATTTACTCAACAAAGTTGTTCTGTGCTGAGATTGGATTCTGCGTTTAAAGACACATTGTAACATGTAAATAAATGCTCAATTTTCGTAACATCTACACGCAGTGGTCTTGTACAGTTATACTACTTTGTGTACCTACAAGCCGTGCTTTTTTTAAAATCTCTTATTATTAATGAAATGGGAAGGATTCAAAACTATTACAATAATTTATGACAAGAGGAGTTTCAAACTCGGAACGCATGGTTGGAAATCTAACACTCTATTTACTAAGATATTAGACCATATGCACCTTATACTAGATTTTGACAAACCAAATGAACTTTTTTGTGCAAGCCTGACACACAATGCAAAAGCGAAAGCAAGTGTTTACATCATCTTCTTTTTTAGTGCATTCGATATTATTTATACTAAAAGGGTGAAGGAGTGAGACCTCATAATTTGAAGATAATCGAATCTAAGATTGATCACTTACTTGTAAGAGTAATTCCACTAGACCATAGTACTAAGTGACAACGTTACATCTTATTACATATGAGAAATTTTTATATGTGCTCAGTATTCAAGCGGGTACTCCACGTGTCATAAAATAGGGACACAGAAAATATATTATTTCCTCCACTTGTATTATGGCATGTAGAGTACCACTTGAAATACTCAATATTTGAAAAAATCTCTCATTTAATAGAATAAACTTTTGATTTAGTCCCTAAATTATTTTTGGTACAATAAGTCCTTAAACTCAATACTGTTGATTTCATTCCTACTAAAAGATTCGGAGCTATTTGATTCATTTTTTGTCAATTTAAATCCCATGACTTGCACATGTCACATCTTTAAAGGATAATACCATCATTTTCTCTCCCATAAGCCCTTATCATTGCATAAAGGTTGCGAATTTAAGTTACTCTTCAAAACTGACTCCATACACTATCATTTTAAAAAAAAAAAAAAAAGGTATTGAACTCATTAACTAGATAATATATCTAACTCCAAAGTGAATCACATGCACATATGGTTTTACCCCAATGGCAAAAAACAACCATACATATACACCCTGGTGCAGATCCTCCCCTCTTAATAATATAACAATTTAACTGACACACCTCGACCCGGGATATCCACTTGGACTCCTAATCAGTTGTGCTGATCGACATCAGGAATGTGATGAAGCCATACAGTGTAGTGATGTGAAAATTTTGAATAAATTTAAACCTAAAAGTGCCTAAATAGAAGAGTGCGCTAGTGAGCAGAAATATGCAAAGTATAGTAAAAATAAGATAAGAATTATACCATTGGAAGTAGTCTCCGATATCAGCGTTTGTCAGAAATCCTCGTCGACACAAACACTGCCACTAAAACCTAAAGGGACAAAAAATAAGGGCGAGTGGGCCTAAAAATAAAGCTTTGTAAAAATCTTTTTAAAAACATAATAACCCCTCGCCGTAAAACAAGTATAGTTTCCAAATATAACATACTATGTATAGTATGAAAATACTTACCATAGCCAACAATATCTCAATGATGCAATACATCACAAACTTTCGTAAATAAACACATGACATCCGTAATCACATAATCTTGCATAAGCAAACATATTATATTGAGTGCTCATCGACACATGCTGACACACGAGTTCATGTAGAGGTATTCTGACATGAACAAGACTAGGTGCAATAATGATTTACGCTATAATATTATAATCACGTGTAGACTAGCGCTACACGCATCACATACGAGTCTTAATTGCCTATAGCAATCTCGGACAAGATTGGCACCTACAATGGATCCAAAGTGAGCGTACAGTGCAGTGTGAACATACACGTGAAAAACTACCCCTGGCCCCGGACGAGTACTAACATCGACGCAGCACACGATGAGCAGATCACGTAACTATGGACATGCCATAGTGATTCGATAAATTGATAATTCTAATCAATGCAATGATATTCATGACCATAAATCTAATTAAGGCATCAATAATAATACGCATACATGTGCATCACGTAAGACGTAGCATAATTTCATAAATTCCGTTAATACTCTAATTTTTATAAACATTAATCTAATATAAGCGTAATCTGGAAAGTTCTTTATCAAATACATAAATAAAAACTAGGCAAATATGTAATATTTAAAAATAAAGACCCACTCACAGATACTTGCAAGGTTGCAGCCGTTCGAACTAGGAAAGTCGGAGTCTCCGATAGTAATTGCACCTAAGCATAATATTGGGACCCATTACTAAAACTCAACTAAAGCGATTAAAGTTGGAAAAACAGAGTGCAGATTTGGAATCAGGGCGTTGAAATACCTTAAGAAGGGTCCCGAACAATTTTCGTAAAAAGTCAACGAAAAGTCAACGATCAATGGTCAACCGTAAAAAGTCAACTGGACGTCGAGCTGGTCAACTATGTTAAAACTTCAGAATTTCACTAAATGGATGTCAAAAATGGACTTGGGGCATCAAAATTAGCCTAGGAGGTTTTCTGAGAAAATTTCATAAAAGTCAACACAAAGAATATATTTTAAATAATATTCAAAGAATATTCCAGATCCATTTTTGGAAATGGGCTGGACCAGGTCAACAACCCAAAGGTTTGGGCTGGATTTTGGCTTGGGCCCTTTTTTTTTCCTCTGGTCGGGTTGACCTGTTTGGGCTTGCAGGTCGGCTGGACCCAACGAAGCAGGCTGGATTTGGGAAATTTGGTCATGAAAATTCCCCTGCTCTGTTTTGGGTTCAAAACTCAATCATTTTCAGCATATATTATATGGATTTGAAGCTAAGAACATGATGGATAGGAATATACCAACAAAAGGTTAAGCCGTGATCATAGACGGACGGAAAAGGTCTGCAAAGCTCCCCAAGTTCTGCCAAAAAACTGGAAAATCTATCATTGTCATTTTTGCAACCCAAGCTCACCAAAACAAGCATGCCGACTTAGAAATCAAACTAAACATCAAAAAGGAAAAGAAAAGATGAACCCCAAAGCTTACCTAGGTCGTGAATGACGAAGATCTCACTAGGAAAACCTTTGAGTTCGTACAAAGGTCGAGAGTCCTCAAGTTTGGTTCCATATGTGTTTCTATCCTCATTTCAGGGCCTAAAAATAATGTAGTGGTGGTGATTTGATGAGGTGAAGACTTGTCGGGGAAATATGGTGAGTGGTGTTAGCAGGTATTTTTGCACTTGCAGAGAGAGATATATACAAGCGAGAGAGCTGAGGGAGAAACGGGGAGAGTTAGAGAGAGAAAGAGAGAGAGAAACTCAGGTGGTGGTTTGGCAAAGCTCGTCGGAGAAGATAGTGTGTGGTGGCAGTGGTGTTGTCGCTGATGTTGCAGATGAAAGACTCAGGAGAGGTGAGGGAGAAGTGAGGGAGAAGAAAGAGAGCATCCAAGATAGTTGGGAGAGAAGGCCATGCATAAAAGAGGGAGAGGTGAGTTTGGTGTGATTATGGGTCCCAAGGCTTGAAAAATAATAAAATATTAAAATATCCAACCAGAAAACATTAAAATAATCAAATATCCAAAATTCAAATTTCATAAAACACCCCCAAGTTCCATAGTAACGTAAATTTTCGTTGTAACTCCAATTTCGATTCCGCTTGTGCCTACGTGCTTATACCGTCAAGAACTTTGAGAACGATAACATAATAGTTCTTACCCGTAGCGAAATGACGGTCAACAAAAGTCAACAATCTCGCCTCTAGGGGCATTTTCACCAATTCACTCCTTTAAAATGAATAAAATCGTAACATTAGAGACGGACTGTTACATTAACCCACTAACTCTATGTAGACTAAAATTGTAAATTAAACGATGTGTCACAAATAAGGAACAAAGACGTTAATCAACACTTATGTAATAATCCAATCATCAACTTTCATGTCATTTAGTTTACAAAACTCTGTCTACAAATTTAGTCTCCCTAGCATTACCCTTTTAATTTTATATCGATTATTTTTATCACTTAGCATGCTTTTTTATTTCAGTTTTATTTTTTGGGTGAAGTGTCGATTTAGTCTTTGAACTGTCACTTTAGTAAAAATTGTCCCAGAATTACTTTTTCAGTAAAGTAAGTCCCTAAATTCATTAAAATTACTAATTTCATCCCTACTATTATATTCAAAGCTATTTTATCCAATGTTTCATCAACTTAAGTAACTTGACACACTTTAGAGTGTAATACCGTCTTTTTATCGCCTATAAGCCATTAACGTTTCATACGGGTTGCGAATCTAAAGTCTAATTTACCCTTCAAAGTTAACTCCATACACTATTTGTTTTTTGTGAAAAATTACCAATCTACCCTCCAATGTGTATTACATGCAAGCAACGTGATTTAAATTGATGAAAAATTGAATATAGTAGCTTTGAATCTAATATTAGGGATGTAATTGGCATATTTTTATAATTCAATGACTAATTTTTCTGAAAATATAGTTTAGCAACCTAATTTTCACTCAAATGATAATTCAGATAGTAAATTGACAGTTCACCCTTTATTTTTTATTGCATGATACTCACAAATGTTATAAAAATGCTATTAAGGCAGTTTTGAAGAAGAAATCACTATTTGACAGCATTTTCAATAAGGGGTTTATAGCCAATAAATCAATGCTATTAAAGAGGGTGGTTGTGAAGTATAACTTTTAAGAAGAACAATAACATAATTTCAAAGAAACCAATAACATAAATGAATGCTATTAAAGAGGGTTGTTGTGTAGTTTAACTATTGATAGATTACCGTGGGTTTAGCTAGCATATCCTAAGTCGCCATTTTTGACAAATGCTGGTTATAGGTTTTTAGTTTGGGAGCATTTTTGTTCACCACCATAACTATTGTGTATGCTAATCATACATCTAATTATCTGACATGTGTCATTTCACCTAACTCTAATTAACTTTCACATTAAATGTTATTTTTTTCAATTTTGCAAAAATTAACCAAAGTTAAGTGAAAAGATAAGTGACAAATGACTGTGTATGGTAAACACGCACCCATAGTTTATGTTGGTGAGCAAAACTGCTACCTTCTAGTTTTTGTTTAATATAAAATACTATTTCCACTTAGTATTACGTTCTAGTGGTATTTTTCTTCACTTGTAAGTGAGAGGTCTTAAGTTTAATTCTCACCAAAGACAAAGTTAAACCACATTATTATGGTAAGCTTATTATAAAGCTTAGCCTACTCCCCACCTTAGTGTTGACTATCGTTTGTTCGAAAAAAATAATAAAAAAGACTTGTTTTTTGGTCAATGATATTCATATACTTCCAAATCCTATAAATTGCTGGCAATGTTTTCCTACTTCTTCTACCATCTCTATCAATTGTCAGCAATCCAACAATGGCTTCCTCCCTATTTCATTGCTTTCTCTTTTGTTCACTACTCTTCCTCACCATTAGTACCCCCTCACTTGCCTAAACCTTATCTTTTATTCCAAAAACCCCTTGTTCTTCCAGTAGCAAAAGATTCCTCTACTCTCCAATACCTCACCACCTTCAGCCAAGGAACCCCTCTTGTCCCCATAAAACTCATTATCGATCTTAGTGGTCAGTACATTTGGGTAGACTGTAAAAAAGACTACATCTTTTCCACCTACAAGTCTGCTTGTTGCAACTCTGCCCAATGCTCACTCTCCAACTCCAAGGCTTATGTTATATGTTATTCCCCTAAGCCTACAAGCTACAACAACATATGCCATCTCTCCCCCTAACAACACCGTCACCCGCACCTCCACCAGCAGTGAACTTGGTGAAGACATTGTCCCTCCAATCCACTAATGGTTCAAATCCAGGTAAGCTGGTCTCTGTCGCCAACCTACTTTTCACTTGTGGTGCCACATTTCTGTTGAAATACCTAGCAAGTGACGTTAAGGGCATGGCTAGCCTCGGTAGGGATAAAATAGGGCTGGTAGCTGGATTCCAGGTGCATTGCAGCTAAACAAAGGAAAAAGAAGTTGAAGGTCAAAATGCCTAAGTGTTAGACTAGTTGGCATTCAAATATTGTAATGAACAGACAAGATTAAAACATCTCAATGGTGTGTATCTTGCTACCTATCTAGTTTGTTAGAAGTTAAGTGAAAACATGTGAGGTGCATGTGATCATAGTCACAGTGCAAGTGTGTGTGTAAGGGTAGCAATAGTTATAAACCCCTAATTATATGTCAACTTTTGTGGATCGAATCCAACATAGATTCAAGGAGCAACGAACTTCGTTTCTCCTGAAAGTTCATCTTTGTTATTTTTTCTTCAAATCCATTTTCAATTACTAGTTGAATTGATTACAAATTGATAAAGAAATTTAGCTCAAAAGTAGCTCAAACACTAACATGACCTCAAAGCCAGGTTCAATTTGAATCTAGGAGTGATTTGTGAGTGCTCATTTGGGTTTTCAACGAAGAACTCAGAAGCATAAAAATGGCTGGATCTAACACCACTCTTCATGCACCAATATTCACTAGAGTCAGTTATGAATTCTGGTGTATCAGAATGAAAACAATTTTCAAGTCTCATAATCTGTGGAGCTTTGTTGAAAATGGCTTCACATTATCGAATGAAGGGAATGAGACGGATGAGAAGCAAGTTCTCACTGATCAGGATCTCATCTACAGAGATGCAAAGGCATTGGGACTAATCCAAGGAGCTGTGAGTGATGAGATCTTTCCCAGAATTGCAAACCAAGAAACTGCAAATGATGCTTAGGATGTTCTTAAGCAAGAATTCAAGGGTGATACCAAGTCATGATTGTGAAATTACAAGGTATTCACCATGATTTTGAATATGCTAAGATGAGAAATAATGAATCTCTCTTTAATTATCTAGCTAGATTATCTGGTCTTATGAATAAGATGAAGATGTTTGGTGAAACCTTGCCAAACAATAGACTAATTGAGAAAATGCTAATTAGTTTAACTCCTACATATGATAACATTGTTTCTGTCATTGAGGGGACTAAGAAATTAGATGAGATTGATCCAAATGAAGTTGTTACAACTCTGAAATGATTTAAGTAGAGATTGAAAAGACATACTGAAGATGAGGAAGTGAGTGATAAGGCATTTAGCATTTTTAGTATCCAAAACAAAAGTGAATCACAAACCACTGGATACAAAAGGAAGAAACCTTTCAAATTTAAAGATAAGAACATTGATTTAAGGCTAATGATAGGCCTCAATATGTTGCCAAATTGTGGTTTAACAATGAGAACACAAAGGAGGCATGTAAAATCTGTGGGAATATAAACTATGGTGAATGCAGATTTAAGGAAAAACCTAAGTGTCACAACTGTGGCAGATTTAATCATTTTTCCAGAGATTGCAAAAGCAAACCAGTTCAACAAGTTCAAGTGGCATAACAAATGGAGAAGGAAACCTCTATGTTCTTTGCTTGTAATGCTCTGTAATAGTCAAAAGTGAGCATGTTTGGTATATTGACAGTGGATGCAGCAATCACATGAGTTTATGTTGATTAATCTGGACAGAAGTATCTCAACAAGAATCAAAATGGGGAATGGACAAATTGTTCGTGCTAGTGGAAAAGGAACTTTGGTGATTGAAACCAATAAGGGTACCAGACACATCAAAGAAGTAACGTTTGTGCCAGGACTGGATGAAAATCTCCTAAGTGTGGGACAAATGATGCAGCGTGGCTATTTCTTATCATTTAGAGATGATCAGGTTGCAATCTTTGAAGATAGGAGCTTGGAGAGTCATGTTGTTACAGTACAAATGGCTGGTAATAGGTGATTCCCACTACTCATCAAGGATATAAATGGTTCTGCACTAAAAGCTAGCATTGAGGGTGATGTTTGGGAATGGCACAAAAAGGCTGGGGCATTTGAATTTTAACAGCTTGCAACTATTGTCTGATAAGCAAACAGATACTTCTTAACTTTCGTTGATGATACAACCAGAATGTGTTGGTCATATCTTCTGAATCACAAATCAGAAGTGTTCAAAGTGTTCAAGAAATTCAAAGCCATGGTTAAATTGCAAAGTGGCTACAAAATTTTAAAGTTAAGAAGTGACAAAGGTGAAAAGTACAAATCTCATGAATTTAATCAATTCTATGAAGATTTGGAACTTGAGAAAGTTGACAATGGCTTATTCCCCACAGCAAAATGGTGTTGCTGAGAGGAATAACAAAACCATTGTTGAAATGGCTAAGAGTATGCTTCATGACAAGCATTTGCCCTTTGAGTTCTGGGGACAAGCTGTTAACACAGTTGTGTACTTCCTCAATAAGTGTCCAACCAAGGTTGTGGAACACAAAGCTCCATTTGAAATAGCAGGAAGTTAGGCATCCAACATTTAAAAGTGTTTGGGTATATCTATTATGGTCACATGCCCAGACAATTAAGACAGAAACTTGATGAATCCTCTATGAAATGAATATTTGTTGGATATAGGAAAATGGAGAAAGGATACACGATCTACAATTTGAGTACTAAGAAGATCATTATGTCAAGGAGTGTTGTATTTGATGAAAAAGGTACTTGGAATTGGAATGCGAAATATTGTGATAAGCTATCATTTCTTGTAAATCTTAATCTACCTGAGATTGAACATGGCATTCAACTAGAAGGGAGTAAGTGTGTAACACATGAATTCTCTGATTCTTAAATTGAGAGTGGTGAGTTAAGGACAGCTAAAGCCACACCAGTCAAAGAGAGATCACTGAGTGAAACTTATGCTAGATGTAATGTAAACATGATTGAACCAGAGAATTTCACTGATGCTGACACTGATGTAGCTTAGAAGAAAGCAATGGATGCTGAAATTAAGATGATAGAGAAAAACAAGACTTGGGAATTAGTTGATAGACCATTAGGCAAACCTATTGTTGGAGTGAAGTAGATATACAATACCAAATTGAATCTGTATGGGACAATTCAGAAGGAGAAGTCAAGACTTGTTGCCTAGGGTTATACATAGAAACCTGGTATTGATTTCAATGAAACATTTGCTCTGTTGTAAGATTGGATACCATAAGGACTTTCATAGCCTAAGCAGCTAAAAAAAAGTGGAAGCTATTTAAACTTGATTTGAAATCAGCTTTTCTTAATGAAGTGTTGTAAGAGGAGGTTTACATTGATCAACCTGAGGGATTTGTCATGCAAGATGCAAAGGACAAAGTCTATAAATTGAAGAATGCCTTATATGGGTTAAAACATGCCCCCAGGGCATGGTATAAAGATATTGATACTCATTTGCACAACTGTGGATTCACCAGAAGTCCAAGTGAAGCAACCTTGTATATGAAGTCAAGGGGAGAAAGTGAATGCATCATTGTCTCTATCTATGTAGATGACATTACCCTACACAAGTAGCAGCAATGAGTTACTAGAAGAGTTCAAGGTTGACATGATGAACATATATGAAATGACATATTTGGGATTGTTATATCACTTCCTTGGCATGGGAATTCTTCAATCTGAATCTGGGATCTTCATTAATCAAAGAAAATATACAGTCAGCTTGCTGCAGAAATTTGGATTGAAAGATTGCAAACCTATTAGCACTCCACTGGTGATAAGTGACAAACTTAAGAAATATGATGAATATGAGATAACATATGAGAATGTATATAGGCAATTGGTTGGGAGTCTATTGTACTTAACTACAACATGACCAGACATTGTGTTTGCAGCTAGCCTACCTAAATTCATGCATGGACCTTCAAACAAGCATTTGGGAGCAGCAAATAGGGTTCTCAGATATATACAAGGCATATTGGAATATGGGATTGAGTATAAGAAGGGCAAAGAATCAATTCTCATAGGCTATTATGACAGTGATTAGAGTGATGATGAAACTAATATGAAAAGCACATCTGGATATGTTTTCTCATTTAGAAGTAGGGTTTTCTTTTGGGCCTTGGTTAAACAACATAGTGTAGCTCTGTCAATAGCTGAAGCCGAGTACATGAGTGCAACTGAAGCAACCACTCAAGCTGTGTGGTTAAGGTTTGTGCTTTAAGATTTTAAAGGATAGCAAATTGAAGCTACTCCTTGTTACTATAACAATATATCTGCCATTACTATGACAACAAATCCAATGTTTCATCAGAGAACAAAGCACATTGGAAGAAGGTATCATGACATTTGAGAAGCATTGCAATCAAACATCATCAAGCTAATCTATTACAAATTAGAATATCAACTTGCTGATATTTTCACTAAGGCATTTCCCAAAGATCAATTCTGCATACTTAGAGAGAAGCTTGGAGTTAAACCAGCTGCCAGCTTAAAATGGAGTGTTGGTGAATAAGCATGGCAACTAGATTCTAGGTGCATTGCAGCTGAAGAAAGGAAGAAGAAGTTGAAGGTCGAAATACCTAAGTGTTAGAGTAGTTAGTATTCAAATAATGTAATGAACGGACAAGATTAAAACACCTCAATAGTGTGTATTTTGCCACGTGTTTAGTTTGTTAGAAGTTAAGTGAAAAAAATGTGAGGTGCATGTGATCATAATCACGATGTAAGTGTGTGTGTAAGGGTAGCAACGGCTATAAACCCCTCATTGTATGTCGACTTTTGTGGATCGAATCAAACGTAGGTTCAAAGAGCAACAAACTCCATTTCTCTCTAAAGTTCATCTCTGATATTTCTTCTTCAAATCCATTTTCAATTACTTGTTGAATTGATTACAAATTGATAGAGAAATTTAGCTCAAAAGTAGCTCAAACACTAACATCCCTCACAATTCACTTCCGCCTTTAGCTTCAGCCAAAAATTTGCAATTTGTTTGAGCTCTTCATCGAGTTCTTACGGCGTTGTAATCTTAGGGGATGGGCCTTATTCTCTCATTCCCAATATTGAGGTGTCTAAGTCACTTTCACTCCATTGATGATCAACCCTATCATCACAGCCCCTTCTTATTTCGTAGGCGAGCCTTCGGTGGAGTACTTCATCAATGTGAAGTCGACTAAGATCAACCAAAAAGTTGTTGCTTTGAATACTTCAATGATGGCCATTGACAATGAAGGGTATGGCGGCACAAAGATTAGCATGGTGAATCCTTACAAAGTTTTGGAGATCTCAATCTACAACGCCGTGGTGAATACATTTGTGAAAGAAGTTGCTAACATCCCAAGAGTGAAACCAGTAACGCCTTTCAAAGCATGCTTCAGTTCGAAGAACATTGGTGTTACAAGGGTTGGGCCTGCAGTGCCTCAAATTGATCTCGTGTTGCAGAGCGAGAATGTGTATTGGACAATGTTCAGAGCAAATTCAATGGTGTATGTGAGCAATGATGTCTTATGTTTAGGGTTTGTGGATGGTGGTGAGAGGATGACTTTTATTGTGATTGGAGGGAACTAGTTGGAGGACAATCTTCTGCAGTTTGATCTGGCTACTTCTAGGCTTGGGTTCAGCTCCTCACTTTTGTTCAGACGTACAACTTGTGCGAACTTCAACTTCACTTCTAATGCTTAAAAGTTAGAGGACATTATTTGGTTGATGATTCAATAATTATTATTTGGAATTGACTTTTGTTTTTACATGGTGAATAAAAATGGTTGTTTTGATTATTAATGGTTTTGATGTAACCTTTCATTGATGACATTTTATGAGGAAACTTCATGTGAAATCTCGTCCCCGGAATTTCACTATTGACTACATATTTTCGTTATTAAATTTCGTATTTTGGGTTACATTTTTTTTTTGTTAATTTTTAATTCTGTAAATTTTAGGAATTTAATCGAATAGTTATTGGGTTTGAATTTTTGTAATTAATCTTTAAAATTCGTTGACCTTTCAAGATCACAATTAATGTTTTCAAATAGATCTCGAAACCACAAACGGATAGACGAAAGCTGTTTGTGAATCCGGGTTTTAACGGTAGAGTTACGGACATTTGAAGTCGTTTTACTAAACTATAGATTTTAAATTAATTAAAACTCCCACCATGTGAGAATGGTAACCAATCAAAGGTGAGGACCGGCCCAATCAGGTACAAGTTTAAGGGGCCAATCAAAAGTGAGGGAGGGGAAGAAGGACCAATCAGGAAGAAAGAGAAATGACCATCCCTTCCCGTCGACCCATGTACCCGCAGCCAGCCCAACTTGAAATTCACATATCCACTACCTGCAACCTCTTCCACGACCTCCCCTCTACCATTCCTACCCAAGATTGAAGGGTTTTAGGTCCAAATTCGCGAGGAACTTCACCAGAGCACTTGAGGTACTCGACAACGATTCTGCTGTTTCGGTGAGTTGCACCACCCGCCACCACCCTTATTCAACTCCCCTTGGACCCAGGAATAAGACCCAACCAATTGTAGGGGCATCGAAATACTGAGGAAGGAGAATCGAAGCTCACTCATTCTAAGGTTTCTGATGAGTGCGAGCCAATTTAGGTCTTTTTCAGCCAAATTGGACTTGGCCACATGTGTAAAATTTGCTTTACTCATTAAGATCTTCATTTTGCTAAAATTTGGTAATTTTTGAAAATAGTTGAATTTTCCGCTGAGTCGGGGCGGTCAGCCGCCACATGCGGGGACACGTGGGCTGAAACCCCACCTAACCTTCCTAGACTAATTTGGATGCCATGATTCCATATGTAACGTCCGATTGACAAAATTTCATCGTATGACTATAGTTTTGATAGAGACTACCACTTGGTCATTATATGAATTAACGATCTGACAGTTGGATTCGCACCAAACATAGATACGTAATAATACATAATATTTAAGTACATTAGGAACTTACGGATCGGGAATCCGAGATACGGATCTTCCCGAATTTGATTTCTAAGTTGTAAAATCAAATGTTGCCGCTACTTGAATTTGCGATTGGCGGAGATGCAACCGTTGGATCGTAATAAAATTTTTGTATGTCGTTCTATGAGTAAAGAGGACTGTAGGAAGTTACAGATCCAAAATTCGATGTGTGGATCTTCCAGATTGAATTGCTAGGGTTGTAGACCCAACAGTTGACCTTTGACCTATAGTTGACTTTTGATCAATGGTTCCCGAATTCATCTAGCATGTCCTAGATGACGTGTACAAGCTACGATTACGTGTTCTATTGATAAAATCATGAGATGTGATTTGATATTGTTCTAGGAGACGATTGTTTGTGACACCTCGATATTTGTGCTAGGGAGTTGTAGTGCGGACTCCAGGTGAGTGACTTTAATATATATGATATGGTTATTACCCTGTTTTTGTATTTAGCATCTTTATGGATATGACTTGGTTTTCTAAATGTGATTTTTAATAATTAGCCATCGATCTATTATTACAAAATGTGTTCTGACTTGTGTGTTGGAAATGTTTGTGAAATGTTATTTGAAATGCATGTTGGATTGTCTGTTAAGTGTGAGGGCTAGAAGTAGACCGTTAACCCATTGTCATGGGGGATTCGTTACTTCAATATTGTTTCATTTCTCACTTCGTTGATATGTTCCAAATTTATATTTGTGTTTGTTTCACATCCCGTTTCATTGATTCATTTCTCGTTTCGTTAATTGTTCTAAATTGTGTAATTTGTGCTTTGTTTCATTTCTTGTTTCGTTGAGCCTTGTTAATTGAGTAACTTGGTTCATGTTTGTTTCTTCGAGTCGTTGATATGTCCCTTGTCCTTCCTCTCAGTTCTATTAAGTGATCCAAAACTGGGTTTCTGCTGGGGTACCATTAAGAGGTCCGAAATCCCTCATGATCCGCGATTCCGTTAAGTGATCCGGAATCGTATCTTATCGTGGATTCATTGAGTGGTCCAATATCCATTGTACTCCTCGATTTCGTTGAGTGGTCCGGAATCGTATCTTGGTTTGGATTCCATTGAGTGGTCCAGAATCCCGCTTGGTATTTTGTTTCCGTTGAGTGGTCCGGAACCCGATGTTGGATTTCATTGAGTGGTTTGAAATCCCATTTTCAGAGATGTAGGCTTCAGCCAAACTGTGTTGCTCTAGCCCTGCATTTGGCATATTGCATGAGTTATTGATTGATAACCTTGTGTTTGATTTTAGACAGGCTGATGGATGTCTGCGTGACTCCTTTGAGATTTTCAATGGTTTATTTACGATATTATTAAGTATGATTTTATATATTCGATGTTTATAAACTGTGATTGATGGATGATTTTTAATATTATCACATACGTTGCATTATTGTCACTCACACAAGCTTCGCGGCTTATCTGGGTTGTTGTTTGCCCGGTGCACCATTCCCATGGTGTAGGGGCGATTGTGCAGGTTTTAGTAGATACGAGGAGCTTTGGGGTAGCAGAGAGAGTCCATGAAGTGTTAGGTTACCCCTATACTTTCCTTAAAAAGATGTGATTATTGTTATTTTCAGTTCAGTTTGTATTTCCTGGCATCCCCTTACAATCTACCGTCACGTGTCGATTTCAAGCATATCTCGGGATCGGGGCATGACACTTCAAGAGTTCTTCAATGTAACCTCAAATTTTATATGAGATTTTTCAGATATTTGCATGCTTCTGCAATTGCAATTATCTTGAAGAAAAGTTTGTCTCATAGCCAAACAATGCAACACTAATTAACTTTTTATCCGAACTTATTTGCCAAACTAATGTGGCACATCATATTCAGTCCTCCTCAATCCATACAATTAGTCACCCCAACCCAAAAAAATAGAAAAAGAAAAAGAAATTATTAAAAATGATCTGAAGTTAAATTTTAATCATTGAACGAAATAAAATTAAACAATGGCAACATACTAATCAAATTTTGAAAAAACGACAATTAAAATTTGATGACATTAAAAAGCTAAACCATTTCAATAACTAAGATTTGAAAAATAATCGTCTCAATCAATTTTTAGAAGAGTAAACTTAATACAAATCTAATTTTCTAATCTTTAGTTCACTTTATTGGATTAGGTCAAATCAACTTATTTTAATTAGTTTTTTTTTTATTAAATTATGATCTATGTCATCACTTATTTTTGCTAAGATTCTAAAAGACGATAGGTGATAGTTGGGCGGCGAGTTAGGACCTAGCGCCTAGGCGGACTAGATAGATTTAAGTAAATTTATTATATTTTGTGTAAATAAGTGTCAGTTTATATTTGAAATATATATAACTTCATTATAAACTACAAAATAGAATGATATATATATTATGAAGTATTGGAACATAATGAAAACATGAAAAACATGCATATAAAGTGTTATTCATTTAAGTATTCAACAAGTCTCTTATAATTTATTAAAAAAATAAAATGCAAAATGAAAGTTATAGATTTTCTATTTAAGTGAGTCGCACCATAGGACTAGGCGGTCTAGGCATCCTTTCTTAATTTTCAAATGCCTAGGCATTAATCGGGACGGTCATCAACCGTCTAGCACCTAGGCAGAACCTAAGCGGCGCTAAACAGAAATGTTTAGAACAGTAATTTTTAGCATTATTTTTACTTTTTATAATCCATTATTATTTCTATCCCTTCGATTCGTATTTCAATTTTTTAATTGTGCTAATTAATTGATGTTGCAAATATTATATTTGTATACAAATACAGTAGTATGGATTTGTAAGAGGGAGAGTGTGAAGATGGGAATGACTTTCCAGAAACAGGCGACTTGGAATACAAACAGATCATCCGGGAAAAAATGAATATTAAATGAAAGATGAAAAACTAACTTTTATATGGGAGGGCGAAGAGAAACAGAGTGATCAAATGCGCGCGACAAGCAGACGCACTCCTTCTCGGATCCCAATTTTCCTACACTCGCAGCTTCTTCAGTGAGCCTTTTCTTCGATTTTCCTTTTTAATTCTCTCGTTTCTTTCCAATTCTTCAATCTTTGTCAATTATTTCTTTTTATTTTTTTAATTCCCACACACCACACCTGATCTAGATGTTTGTTCGTCCAATTTAATCTGAATTTTGTTCTTCTAGGGTTGTTGAACAAGTCAATGATCGGGGAAAGTTGCTCCCTTGAAAGCTAAATTCATAGTATTATTTATTTATTTTAATAGTAGAAGCAGCAATTCATATGGGTCAAATTGTTTATGGTGATTTGATTTGCTCCTATGGTTTGTTTAATTGATCATCGGTTCTTCACATCCGGGTTTACAGTCCAATGTTGAATCATCTCAAGAAAATGTGAGCTTTTTATTTTACTTCTTTTGGTACTTGATTTGCTTTGTCAAGATGGTATTTCAGAAATTAGTCAAAGTTCGTGTTTTGAGCCAGATTTAGCTTCTGTGTTATGTCATTGGGATCGGTTCTGGTCCGAATCTCGTATATTCTTTACCAACTTTTATTTTATCTGTTCTGTCAGTTAGTTAGTTAGTTAGTTATTGCTCCCCGGGTTTCTTTTCATTTGACCATGATGCAATATAAAGTTTAAACTGGGGAATCTATAGTTTGTTTGAAATTACATTTGCTCGGCTTATCATTCCGTTGTGTTCCTTGCAGGGGAGTAAGTGTCCAAGAGTGAGAAGTTTTCTTGTGATTAGCAATGGATCCGATAGACGAATCCTTCAAGAAACAAATTGCAACATTGTTGAGAGTTATACATGTGACAAGATGCTCTAAAGAGGACAATGTTCCATGCCAAATTGAAGAGGTAACTAGATTTTAATTTTACGATCAGTTTTTGGTCATTCACTCTGCATTTTTTCTACCGCCCTGCTTTCCGCAGCTAGGGTCACTTGTTTCTTGTTGTTTTAATTTTGCAGGGTCTCTTCTTGGGTTCTATTGGAGCTGCAAATAACAAGGACGAACTGAAAAACTTAAACATCACACACATTTTGACTGTGGCTAATTCTTTGGCACCTGCATATCCAAATGATTTTGTGTATAAGGTTATAAATGGTATGAATGTTGTTCCTCTGATATGGTGCAATTCGGTTGCTCATGTCATTTTGGTTTTTAAACTACCCTCCACATTTTGGGGATAATTTTACTTTAATTTATTGTCTCAGAGTTGATTGTTTCTTACACAGAGTCTTCTACTTGCATCTAACCATTTTTTTTTTTTTTTTATCTGAGATGATTGTTTAGTCGATCATAAGTGGTTTTCAAATGATTTTAGCATATATTATGTGAAATGCATAAGTAAATCTGTACATCGTTGGTGGTCTTCTTTCTTCTAGAATAGCATTGCACTGCAGTATGCAATCATGATTCTATACCCCAAGACCCCACCTTATCAAGTATTTAATGCCTTGGTTCTACAAGTGTTTAATTCATAATCATGATCATATTTGCTGTTTCAAGCCAAGGTGTGAGATAGTAGAACTGAATTCGTATTTATCTTTTGGTGCTGTTTCAAAATTGTGGTAGTTGCGGACAGAGTCTGCACAGATCTAAAACAGCACTTTGATGAGTGCATCGATTATATTGACGAAGCTACAAGATCTGGTGGTGGTGTGTTGGTTCATTGCTTTGTGGGAAGATCCAGAAGGTGATTTTATCTTCCAGTATAGGTTATTGCTTTCAGGTTGTCTTCTTCGCTGTCTTAATTTAAGTCATCGGTTAAGTGAATCCTTCAAATAAGGTTCTGTTGATCTCTTGGATGTAACATGGATAAGGAAATAATGTTTTAGCATAAATTTTCTACGATTTTGCATCTCTGTTATTAATATTAGAACAGAAATAAAATTTGGGCTTTCAATTGCTGTTTTTAACTAGTTAAAGGTCAAGAGTTAGGTAGTTTTGCCTAGGTTTTTTGTCATTCTAGGTCAGATCCAAGCTCTGTCCAATGTGCATCAATTCTAATAAGCCAAATCCAAACCATCTAATTTAGGAGATTTGTACAGCATAGAAGAAAATATACTTCCGAAGGAAACACTTTGCTTACTAATATTATTTGAATTTGGACTTTATTAATTGTTTTCCTTGCAGTGTGACTATTATTGTTGCATATCTGATGAAAAAGCATGGTATGAGCATATCTCAAGCTCTTGAACATGTGAAGAGCAGACGACCTCAAGCATCTCCTAATGCTGGTTTCATTTCACAACTGGAGAGCTTTGAAAGGTCTCTTTGTGGTGAGTCATTATTTTATTACTCATTTAATCCAACTAACGTTCATGAATTACCGGCTTAAGTAGCTGAAACAGTGTAGCATAGGCTTCATTTTACTGAAAGATCTCCTCCTTGGCCAAACCATAACATAACTTTTTCCTGCTGGCCTGAACTCCTGAATTTGAGCATATGGTTTATTCTAATTATATTGGTGTTGGCATTACATTAAAATCGCTGATGATTTTTAGGGGGCTAATTCTCACTACACTTAAAGAACGTTTTGAAGGAAATGCATCACAAAAGGGTAAGACAATGCACATATTGAGTGTAGCATGCAGATGTTGCGGCAAGATTTAAGCTAAAACTGATCTCATGTTAGTATATCTCTCACTGTGCCCCATTTCCATACAAATCCGGAAAAAATGTGTTAAACCTTCTGATCTGCCACAAATGGGACCCACTTGAGGATCCTCTGCATGACTTTTCCCATAAAAGACTATACAAGGCTTTTAATCTTAGTCCCTCAAAGAAATATAAAGGCCGATATAGTGCCACAGCTTTAATAATTTTTTTCCCTTAATTTTCCTTAGTCTTTGGCAGTGGAAGTCTCTTCCATTTTCCAGTCCCCTCCTTTCCACTCTTCCATGGCAGTCCATTGGGATCCTATACCCTCCCTCGTCAACACAGGTTCTTTCCCTTTGCCTTCCATCGTCCCACCCTGCGGATTTTGTGAAGAGACAAAGCCACCACCCACACCAAGCAAATATTTAAAAACTACAGCATACAAATTTGATTTGAACTCCGAAGGCATTTGTATTTAGGTTCTGCATTTCTTTTCCTAGAAGTATGGAGTATGATTAACGGGGATTTATGTTGAAATATTGATAGAGAAGAATATAATTAATTAAGTAATTTATGGTTTTTTAAAACTGCATACCTTTTGCTCTTGATAATCAAATGGTGGAAGGCCCATTTGGTTGATTAGGGAGAAAAACAAGGGCAATTAGAGGGTTCATGTCGAATTTGTCATTCTCCCCCTTTTCTAGTCGTCTGTGTTTCTGCGATTCTGGGATTTGAACACCACCAGTTGCAACCCCAAAAAATAATCCATGCTTGGGTTGTAAGAAGTGAGAAAAAATGAATTTTACGGGGCAAAGTGAGAACAAGTAAGAGTTTCAGGGGGACAGCCGTAAATAAGCCTAGAACTATTGTGCAAAAGTTTTGCCTTCAAAATCCATAGTTGTCACCTGAACTATGTGGTGTCAAGATCTAGGTTTTCTGCTTTTTAAGTAATGTTTGTGCATATTCTATGTGCCATGTTTATATATTTAGCACTGATGTTGGTTTGTTTGTGATTTGCTTTGGATATTCCTTTATATAACTGAAGCAGATGAAGAGAACAAGACAACGTAATGTACATGGTTGGCCTCCTGCGTTGAAGAACCTCGCTTGAATATATACGTTACCCAAATTAGATGAAATTTCGGTGGTATAGATAGAACTTTCACAGTTGTTAACTTGTTACAATAGAAAAGGATGTGTTATGGATTTAAAGTTGACTATGAATGATTAGGTTGTAAGAAATGTAATAAAATTCTTATTGCACCTCTGTATAAATCGTCGCGATATATATAGAATAGCAGACTGGTACTATCTCGTTGTGATGTTAGCAGGGATGCTAATTTGTACATAAATACCAATTAACAAATATAAACACCAAACAATGCTGTTTTGGCAAAACGTATGTATGATTCAAAGGAAAGGATGAGAGTGAATCGAAGGGAATTGAAAGGAAGAAAAATATAAGAACGCGATATCTTTTGTGCCAACACCTATTACCGTCGGAAGTTTTTCAAAACAAAGATATTAAAGAGGTGACGGGGTCAGAATTATTACAGTGATCAGTTGGATGGAAGCAGGATTTGAAAATTGAGAGAAGCAACAGGGGCGACTAGGTGGACCGATATCGAACGACCGGTCGGACCGATAAAACCTTGCAAGGTGAACAGTCGGAGCATGTTGAAGGACCGATTGAAGTTGTTTTGATATTCAAAATCTTCATATCTTTCCGAAGGTAGCTAGCATAAAAAAAACACTTCAGAAACATGTTCTACAAGCTAGAGATTGAATTCAAATGAAAAGACATTTTTCACATGAAATTGTGCCTCTTTATTGAAATGGTGCAAACCAAGTGCTATATGGTTATGAATGGTGGTGGTTGTTGAACCATTGCAGAAATGAGCACATATTAAACCTCTATTAATTGACGAGTCACGGACAAGTGCTATAAGAAAAAGTTTGTATTCTCAAGCCTTTTTTCATTGACAACCAAAGCACTAAGAACAAAATTATGCAGTTTATGTTTTTGGTTTAAAACATGAGTGTTCTTGTTATCTTTAGTGTGTTTCAGGTTTATTTTAGGAGTGTACAAACTTTTTACAAATAAAAGACGTACGGTCACATGATGCATTATATCCATAAGATTATTTCATAATTCTACTTTACACACAAGTTATGAGACCAATTAATTAAGCAAAATAGGCGTACGTATCTTGAAACAATCTTTCATCTTTCTTTAGCCATAACCCACCAGTCTCTTTACTATCCAATAAATACTATCAATTCTCAAACACTGCAGAAGGTTTGTGTCTAAATTTTAACCACTTAACTGGTATCAATGATATTGGCGGGAGATGGAAAGCTAGCTAGTAGCTGTGGAGCTAAAAATAATCAAGAGACGACATGTGGATTTTTTGGTAGAAAGGACAAAATTACCTTTGAGGAGCACCGGAATTCCCACGCGCGAGCAGCGGACAATCATCCTACAATCAAGTCAAAGTGGCCAAAATAGGCATTTATTCAAAACCTATTTCATCAATTTTCTCGACAAGGTAACCCCCAAAACATTCCTTTTAAATTATGTTAATTAGCTAATTAATAGATTTATTACCTAATTAATCTACCAATTAACTACAAAATACACTCAAAAACACCACGAAGGGCCGGCCACCTTCTCCCCCCATGCCCTATATATACAACCCCATTTTCTCTAAAAACCTAGGTCTACACTCTTGCTAAATACTCAAAATTCTCCAAACACTTTCTCTCTAAATTCTAACTTTGGCATCGGAGGTTCTTCGGCCAAAGCGCCCCCCCCCCCCCCCCCCCCCAAAAAAAAAATTCATCGTGAGCGCGTGAGGCTTTTGGCCTTGACCCAAGGTGTTATTTGTTTTGTAGGTGCAATTTTGTCCAAGAACAAGGAGGAAGAAATTTGCATCCACAAATTGGTACTTTCATTGAGAGTTAAGTCCCACACTCGTGGAAGACTCTCGCATCCAAGGTTTTTCTATTTTTCTTGTCCATTTGTAGATTTTTCGTACGTTTTTATTATTAGAATTTTTTATCTGCAAAAATTCTTTGATAAAACATAAAAGAGAAGTACAATGGCTAGAAATTTAGAAAATCTAAAAAGTGAAAATTCCAATATTCAAAAGATGGGACAGCGACGATCCATGAGGTTAAATGTGACAATAAGTGGAGCGAGACCACCACCACGAGTTTCCACCAAGGGAACCACCGCAGTGGCTACCACGGTAGCCACCCGCGACGAGGTCCATGGTGTCACCACCACAGCCCAAGCCGTGCCATCTAAGGCCCACGACACCAAAGTCACGGGCCAAGCCAAGTCACTCCACGCCCAACGTGAGCCCAACGCATTGCCAAGCCGAGCCCAAGCCTCGCACCCGTGTGCGCCATAAGCCGACCAGCTTGCTCCCGTGGCCCAGCCTGCTCCCACTGAGCAGCCCACTTTCGCGGCCCAACCTGCTCCCGTGGCATTCCAAGTAGCCCAAATCGGTCCAAGATTAGTTCAACTTACCCGGTGTCAAATTTCTGGGCCTACGATTAAACGGGAGCATTTTCACCATGTTTCTCTACAGATTTGACATTTCCCAATTCAAATCTCGCACCCGAAGCCTACTACACTTCTACTGCTTAAGGAGACACATTCCTTCCAAGCTCTTCCAATCCAAATAATTAACCACACTTGTCTCGACAAGTCATAGAGTTGACGAGTGCCCTTGCACAACAGACAACCTTGGTGAATCAACTCTTGCAACGCACCGAGATCCAACGTGCCCCAAACGAGGTGTTTCAAAGTAGGATAAGGGCAAACGAACCTCTCTACCAGCATCCTGGTAAGTAGCCCATCAACCAACCATGATTCGAGCGTTCTGGCAATTTACGCTCCCGCCTGGGTCCTTAGGATAGCGTATACTCTCGTCTTAATGCGCGGAGGAACGGGACATTCCCAATCAAGCCCACAGACGAGCATATGTTCACGGTTGAGGTCATACTCCGATTATCAACATGGATAACCTTCCAAGCGAAGTGTTGATTCATAACTAGGCTCGCAAGAAGTATTCTCCACCTCACATCAGAGTAGACAGCATGGCAAACAAAAAGAAGCAATCACTCAATCCGACTCAAGTTTAACTGGCAGCCCGTTTGCCTACCAGGAACATGCCACATGCACTGCAGCCGCGACATAGACAAGTCGAGCATAAGAAAAAGCGGCCCAAATCCATAGGTCACAACCGGAGGCAACCTAAAGTTCCACTACCCCAGCAAAGGCAAATTCAAGAAGAAGTTAAAAGACTCCTAACTGAACGATTGCGCAATTTCAACGTAATGAGGCCGCTGACGATGTGCTTCGACGGAACATAACTAGCATAAACATGTCACCATTCACGAATGAGATCGAGCAGACAAATCCACCTCACAGGTTCACTATGCCTTACTTCACTCTGTACAAGGAAGAAGAAGATCAGGATCGACATCTCAAGCAGTACCGCAGTACCATGATCCTCTACAGGAGCAACGACGCGCTTATGTGCAAAATTTTTGCCACAACTCTACAAGGTGAGGTGCAAGATTGGTTTCACACTCTACCACTGCAGTCGATCCGAAGTTTCAACGAACTTTCCTTTGTTTTCACTAAGGAGTATTCGTCTAACCGCTCAATCAAAAGGACATCCAACCATCTCTTCAACATCGAAAAAGACCCTTGGGAGACAATTCGTGAATATGTCAAGAGGTTCAAAGCAGAGAAGGCCAAAATTGTTGGCTGCAACGAGGGCATAGCAATGGCAGCATTCAGAAATGGGCTTCCCACCGAACATCTTTTATTCGGAAAACTAATCATGGGAGAATAACTGACTCTAGCAGCTTCGTATGCTTTGCAGAAAAACATGCATTATGGGATGAGGTCAAGCAGTCTAATAAAAACGAGTCAAAAAAGAAGCACATGGAACGTTCCCTGACCAAAGAAGACTTAGCGCCTGAAACATTCACCAACTTCACAGTTCCAATCGGCCAAATTCTCCGCAAGCTCAAGAACAAACCTTGGTTTAAACTGCCGCCACCCATGAAAAGTGATCCTACCAGGCTAGATCATACAATGTATTGCGTATTTAATCAAGGACTAGGCCATACTACCAACGGCTGCCTGAAATGGAAGCAATACCTTGAGAAACTAACAAATGGGGGCCGATGTGACGAATATCTTGATAGGTCAATAAAACGGCCTACATAAGCAAGGGAAGTTTCTATCACCTCTTGAACCCCGTTTGGGCTTTTCTAAATAAGTTCGAAGTCTCAAGCAGCTCGCCGAACAAGGCCTCGTAAGCCGAAGAATATCCAGTTTGTTATGCAGTTTCTACACAATTGGTTTATTTCTTTATTCTCAATGAAGATTCAAGAAGTTACTTATAAGCCTGGCTCAACTGCCGTCCACAACAACTGCTTAAAACCCTTTCTGGGTGTACTTTCCAGTGCGAAAGGATAAACTAATTACTCTCTAATGCGAGAGGGTAAACCAATTCCCTGACACCCATATGGGTCTGCTCTCTAGTACAAGAGGATAAACTAATTGCTCTCCAGTGTGAGAGGGTAAACTAATTCCCCGACACCCATATGGGTTTGCTCTCCAGTACAAGAGGATAAACTAATTGCTCTCCAGTGCGAGAGGGTAAACCAATTCCTCGACACCCATATGGGTCTGCTCTCCAGTACGAGAGGATAAACTAATTGCTCTCTAGTGTGATAGGGTAAACCAATTTCCTGACACCCATATGGGTCTGCTCTCCAGTGCGAAAGGATAAACTAATTGCTCTCTAGTGCGAGAAGGCCACATAGCCCAAAAGATCGAATGCTTGAAGATCAACTAGGCAGTAAATGGTTAGGGGGCAACAACCATTTTTGCACTTAACAGTTCGCTCATCAGACACTTCATTTTCAACAGCTCCGATCTTGGCAGCTCCATCCTTAACTGCTCCATCTATGGTAGTTGAGAAATCAAACTCAAGCAGTTTCCTCATTTTTGGCAAGCAGCCCAAACCGTTGCCCATGCCACACCACTTCCTCGGCCATGCCAAGCCAATCCTTGGCTTCAATCAAGCTGAGCAGCAAAAGCAATGGCCCCTGCCACACCACCTCCTTGGCCCATGCCAAGCCGACTCCTGGCCCCTGCTAACCGAAGTGCCGCACCACCCTGACAGTTGCCTCATGGCAGCACCTCCTAAGAAGAAGACAAGGAGAATTAAGTTTTTCTTACATCGGTGCGGCTGGAAGAAGACAAGGAAATCAACGGAAGA